TCCCGATATCCCAATATCCATACCGATATCCCAATATCCCGATATCCCAATATCCATACCGATATCCAATATCCCGATATCCCAATATCCATACCGATATCCCAATATCCCGATATCCCAATATCCATACCGATATCCCAATATCCCGATATCCCAATATCCATACCGATATCCCAATATCCCGATATCCCAATATCCATACCGATATCCCAATATCCATACCGATATCCCAATATCCCGATATCCCGATATCCCAATATCAAAACCGATATCCCAATATCCCGATATCCCAATATCCATACCGATATCCCAATATCCCGATATCCCAATATCCCGATATCCGATATCCCAATATCAAAACCGATATCCCAATATCCCGATATCCCAATATCCATACCGATATCCCAATATCCCGATATCCCAATATCAAAACCGATATCCCAATATCCCGATATCCCAATATCCATACCGATATCCCAATATCCCGATATCCCAATATCCATACCGATATCCCAATATCCCGATATCCCAATATCCATACCGATATCCCAATATCCCGATATCCCAATATCCATACCGATATCCCAATATCCCGATATCCCAATATCCATACCGATATCCCAATATCCCGATATCCCAATATCCCGATATCCCAATATCCATACCGATATCCCAATATCCCGATATCCCAATATCCATACCGATATCCCAATATCCCGATATCCCAATATCCCGATATCCCGATATCCATACCGATATCCCAATATCCCGATATCCCAATATCCATACCGATATCCCAATATCCGATATCCCAATATCCCGATATCCCGATATCCCAATATCCATACCGATATCCCAATATCCCGATATCCCAAAATCCATACCGATATCCCAATATCCCGATATCCCAATATCCATACCGATATCCCAATATCCCGATATCCCAATATCCATACCGATATCCCAATATCCCGATATCCCAATATCCCGATATCCCGATATCCCAATATCCATACCGATATCCCAATATCCCGATATCCCAATATCCATACCGATATCCCAATATCCCGATATCCCAATATCCATACCGATATCCCAATATCCCGATATCCCAATATCCATACCGATATCCCAATATCCCGATATCCCAATATCCATACCGATATCCCAATATCCCGATATCCCAATATCCATACCGATATCCCAATATCCCGATATCCCAATATCCATACCGATATCCCAATATCCCGATATCCCAATATCCATACCGATATCCCAATATCCATACCGATATCCCAATATCCCGATATCCCAATATCCATACCGATATCCCAATATCCCGATATCCCAATATCCCATATCCCGATATCCCAATATCCATACCGATATCCCAATATCCCGATATCCCAATATCCATACCGATATCCCAATATCCCGATATCCCAATATCCATACCGATATCCCAATATCCCGATATCCCAATATCCCGATATCCAATATCCATACGATATCCCAATATCCCGATATCCCAATATCCATACCGATATCCCAATATCCATACCGATATCCCAATATCCCGATATCCCAATATCCATACCGATATCCCAATATCCCGATATCCCAATATCCATACCGATATCCCAATATCCCGATATCCCAATATCCATACCGATATCCCAATATCCCGATATCCCAATATCCATACCGATATCCCAATATCCCGATATCCCAATATCCATACCGATATCCCAATATCCCGATATCCCAATATCCATACCGATATCCCAATATCCCGATATCCCAATATCCATACCGATATCCCAATATCCCGATATCCCAATATCCCGATATCCCAATATCCATACCGATATCCCAATATCCCGATATCCCAATATCCATACCGATATCCCAATATCCCGATATCCCAATATCCATACCGATATCCCAATATCCCGATATCCCAATATCCGATATCCCGATATCCCAATATCCATACCGATATCCCAATATCCATACCGATATCCCAATATCCCGATATCCCAATATCCATACGATATCCCAATATCCGATATCCCAATATCCATACCGATATCCCAATATCCCGATATCCCAATATCCCGATATCCCGATATCCCAATATCCATACGATATCCCAATATCCGATATCCCAATATCCCAATATCCCGATATCCCAATATCCATACCGATATCCCAATATCCCGATATCCCAATATCCATACCGATATCCCAATATCCCGATATCCCAATATCCATACCGATATCCCAATATCCCGATATCCCAATATCCATACCGATATCCCAATATCCCGATATCCCAATATCCATACCGATATCCCAATATCCGATATCCCAATATCCATACCGATATCCCAATATCCCGATATCCCAATATCCATACCGAATCCCAATATCCGATATCCCAATATCCATACCGATATCCCAATATCCCGATATCCCAATATCCATACCGATATCCCAATATCCCGATATCCCGGTAGCGGGATATCGGGATATCGGTAGGGATATTGGGATATCGGGATATTGGGATATCGGTAGGGATATTCGGATATCGGTAGGGATATTGGGATATCGGTAGGGATATTGGGGATATTGGGATATCGGGATATCGGTAGGGATATTGGGATATCGGGATATTGGGATTAGACATGCACCGAGTACCGAAAAAGTCGACTCGGCCGAGCACCGAGTACTCGGCTATATTTTTGCCGAGTACTCGTTTCTGCTCGTTTGCCGAGCACCGAGCAAAGCTCGGCAATCGAGTACCGAGCAAGGCTCGGCCACCGAGTAAATTGTCAAAAAGATCATCAAAAAAATCATTGTTTACATAATATTTAATTACCAGTGCCTTTATTTTGAGAACTGGTGGACAGAATGACGTGAAACTACTGATTCTTCCGCCTGTTCCAACATTTCGATTAAAGTTGATTACCGAATAGAATTAACAAATTTCATGGGTGTATTTTCAAGTAAGTTTGATTTTGATTGCATAAATCACATGATAATTTGAACTGCACGGTGTATGTAAGTACCGGGTAAAGTGGTACTGGATACATATAAAAATTTAAGAAATACTCGGCCGAGTCCGAGTAGTGAGAGCACGGCCAAAATCTGCCGAGTACTCTGTGCATGTCTAATTGGGATATCGGGATATTGGGATATCGGTAGGGATATTGGGATATTGGGATATTGGGATATTGGGATATCGGTAGGGATATTGGGATATCGGGATATTGGGATATCGGGATATTGGGATATCGGGATATTGGGATATCGGTAGGGATATTGGGATATCGGGATATTGGGGTATCGGGATATTGGGATATCGGTAGGGATATTCGGATGTCGTGATATCGGTTGGGATATCGCTGTATTAGGATATCGGAATATCAGCCGGGATATTGGGATATCGGCAGGGATACTGGGATATCGGTAGGGATATTGGGATATCGGGATATTGGGATATCGGTAGGGATATTCGGATATCGTGATATCGGTTGGGATATCGCTGTATTAGGATATCGGAATATCAGCCGGGATATTGGGATATCGGCAGGGATACTGGGATATCGGTAGGGATATTGGGATATCGGGATATTGGGATATCGGTAGGGATATTCGGATATCGTGATATCGGTTGGGATATCGCTGTATTAGGATATCGGAATATCAGCCGGGATATTGGGATATCGGCAGGGATACTGGGATATCGGTAGGGATATTGGGATATCGGGATATTGGGATATCGGTAGGGATATTGGGATATGCGGGATATTGAGATATGGCGGTGGTGGTTAACTGGATTTGGTAAGCCCCCATACCTCGATATCCCAATATCTTGATATCTCGACCAATATCCCAGTATCATATCAAGGGTATCAAGATACCGAGATATTGGGATATGGGGGTGGTTGTTATCTGGGCATTGTGGTTAACTAGGTTGGGTAAGCCTCCCAACTCGATATCCCGTCCCATGTCCCGGTATTCGAATATATTATCCGATCTTAAAATACTGGGGTACTTCCGTGGTTCAACTCTTTTAGGATCTAAGGATACTGGGATATTGGAATTAGGACTCCTAGATATTCGGGTTGTATATTGAAGGATCGTATCACGAGTCATGCAAGGCTTCAGCCCAGCCCAATCGCTAATATTGAGTAAACTCTGTTTCAATTCTGGTAATTGCAGCGGGAAAGCCACATGCCCAGTTACTTAACATGGGCACGTGACTTTCCCGCTGCAATCACCAGAATTGAATAGTTTAGTAAGGAATAACTGATCGCAGATTTAAATTGAATTTCATCCCGCCCAATGTAATCAAGTGGGCACGTGATTTTCGCGCGAAAATATGCTGCGATCATTTATTCCATAATAACCAAAAGCTAGGTAGTGAGTAGTACACGACCGCAGACGAGGGGAATCTTGATTTTTTTCACTTTAACGTTCGTCTCAAATTCCTTTCACTTCCACAGGCGACAAAGAGTTGCAGTTAATATTTTCAAAAATTTAATTGGTGGAATTTTGAAAATTAAATATACTGTTGCCCGGCGGGAGACGGGCTTATACGCTAGTTAACAATAAGCAAGTAGCTTGTGCAATTTTGGGAAACCATTTTTCAACCAAATTTTGAGAAATTTTGCGCTAAAAATTAACGTGTGTATGCCTCTAGTAAAATTAAAACCATACCTCCTCCGTGGAAAACCACATATTATACAATTCCAGCTCGATTAAGGAATCCTTCACTTGTCCCAACATGACGCTGATCCAAAAAGTGCGCTGTGCATTCAAATTTCAGCACTTTGAGACTTTTACACCCCTCCAAATTCAGATAGAAGGCCACCGAGACGTCCAGCGTGGTTTATTTTGCTGAACCAACTAATTTATTTCATGACAGGAATACATAACATGCGATTTGCAGAATCGTTACATACATATGAATCTTTGGAGGAAGAGGAAACAAGTATTTCAGAAATTTTTATTAAATATTACCAAATTTCACATGTACTACAAAGTGAATTGAGACTAAATATGCATTCAAGAAATTGAAATCTACTGTAGACGTTCATTGACTCGGCACCGTTTATAAATTATGTCACGCGAGAAAGGGGAGATAGATGGAGGTTCTGATATTGTTCCTATGTGACACATGTTAAGGGAGGATCCACGATATTCGCGATTTTTGCATAACATACATAGTTTATGAATGTTCCCATACCAAGTCAAAATCCAATTAAAGCATTATACAAATCACAACTATTTTCTCTCTTCGTCTTCAAATTCGTTAGCCACACCTCCCGTAAAATCAATGGGTGCACCACTAGCTTCAAAGACGGCTCGCATTCGTTCCATAATTTCTGGCACCTACATTATTGGAAAGCTTTATAAATTGGATGGATTTGTGCATGAAAAGTACATATTTTACTGTGCGGCTTACCACACCCCCAAAGATTTCTACTTTCTTAAATCCTTTACTGAACATGATGAGATCTTGAATGTGGACAGAAAATTGGTCCTCCTTGATGTAGACGGCCCAGAACTGGGCACTTTTGGCTCCTGAAAAAATTACGACTTTTCATTAATATAATTAATATCCGTATTGTTTAACTAATCGTAAAAGTAGTTAAAATTTTAACTACATTTCTAACTACATCCTAAAATCTAGCTACTAACTACTTTACAACTTTTGGTTTCCAACTTCTTTTTAACTACTTTCATTTAACTACCTTTTACTGTGCACTGTTAGAAATCGGGTATACCCGATGAACCTGTCTGTAGTTACGGCGTAACCTGTTACGCAGGTATTGATTTCTCTGTATTAAAGTTGTTACCCCTTGGTATTAAAATTATACCGGTCATGCAATTAATTAATTACTTTAATTTAATCATAATCTTAATTTAGTATTATGATCAAATAAGTAAACCCTCCAAACGATATATAAATAAGTATGTAGCGTCAAAGCGATCCCTTTAACATTTTTTCTTAACATGACCTCGTCCTCACGGTAATACGGTTAAAAGTATTAAGTTCGTGGTGAAATTTCCTTTAAAATGGAACCCAATATGAAAATTAAGGTTGTATTAAATTTTGGACCACCCCCTCGCTATGGGGTGTAATTCACCCCATTTTCTAATTACAAATTAGAAATACAATATCGAAAACGTCTACATAGGTGGAGTCGTTCTAGAGATATTCTTCTTACGGATGGACAGACGGACGGACAAAACGATCACACATGTACTTAATAATTTTGTATTGGTTGATTTTAACTTAAAAAATCTACCTTTCAAACCGGACATGGCCTTAAGTACGTCCATCAGCTCGGAGGTTTTGCTCACCCCATCCACGTGAACGCTGACCCGTTCCAAATCCCACGTTTTGAAAGGTTCTGTAATCTCGCTGAGGGTGGGAATGCCATCAAAATCTATGTCCGTCAAGACCAAATTGAATTCCTTAACGGCAGGAAATAAATCAACAATTTCCTCCTCGAATTCCTCATCTTCAAAGTCTTCAAATAAGTTCATGGTCAACGTGAGAGATTGAACTCCCCTGTGTCTCCTCCATAAATCTAAGAAGGACGAAATAGACGAATCTTCATGTATGTCTTGGACATGGAGGGTTTTTAATTGGGGAAAATGGTCTTCATCAAAAAAATCAAGGATTTCGTTCCCATCTGTGGCATGGATCGAGAGCGTGGTAAGTTTCGACATGATGGGACCTCCGGTAACAGGTTCCATCTGTGGAATATTTAAAAAAAAACGTTTAGTACGGGTAGCGGGTCCTCTTGGAAATCAAGAATCAGGGTTTCGATTAGTAAAAACCAAATTGACCACGGCAGTGGGAAAAAGGCACTTTTCCCACCCATCTAAAGGTTGGTGGAAACTGGGAAAAATGGAAGAAATGGAAAAAAACTCTGTTTTGGGGAAATTAGAAACAACCTCTTTAAAACTTAAGATTTTCAAAATTTGATTTCATATTCGTATTCTCCATCAAATTCTGAGAAAAGAAGTTAGTAATTCGATTAAATTCAAACAATCTCCAAAATTAAGATATGAAAAAATTGGAAAGACAATTAAAATTGGTCAAAAGTGCAAATGTGAAAATTTTAAACGTGATTTTAAATTTTAAACGTGAAAATTTTATCAAAATTTTCAGAAATTCGTGGAGACGACGAATATGAAGTTCAATTCCAAAAATATTGATAATTTAAGAAGTTAGCCTTCCCCATACCTAAATAAACCGTAGTAAAGTTAGAAGTAGCTCACCCTGTCATATTGACTTGGTTATAACTTACGCACCAAAGGTGCGGAGTAACCCGCAAGCCATACTTACAATACAATTCTGCACCAATGGTGCAGAATAAGCGAGTAAGATATGCATATGTAATGATTTGCTATAACTTTACCAAAGGTGCCGAATAATCGCGCAAAATATAAAAGTATAAAAGTTATACAATTTTGCACCATTGATGCAGGATAATCGAACAAATAGATATAGTATTGTCATATAATTTTGCACCAATGGTACAGGATAACCAGAAAGAGCAGGCATATAAAAATGATATAATTTTGCACCAATGCTACAGGATAACCAGAAAGAGCAGGCATATAAAAATGATATAATTTTGCACCAAGGGTGCAGAATAAGGAGCCAAAATAAATATCTAATTTTGAAATAATTTTGGTTTTTCCCCCGGGGCTTTAACTCGTGGTGTTAAATTTTTGACACCACCTTTCATCCAGTTATTCTAAACTTTTGGTGCATGTTGCATCGATTCTCCCAATTATTTAGCATCATTTTTGATAACCGGTTGTTTGATACTAACGGTGCTACTTATTCCAATGTTGGAGTACTTTCTCGATCAACTTTCCCAATTGATTCGCACCATTTCCGTTCGGATTGTTTGATGCCAATGGTGGGACTAAGTTATCCAATAATGGACATGGGGATTATTAATTAGCATCAATTGATGCAAAAAACTCGTGAACACACAGACGGACAGACAGGCAGACAAGAGGAATTCAATAGCTCCCGGGCTACGCAGGGTGAGCTAATAAATACACATATTTTCCCATTTTAGACGGAAAAACCGTTCTCCTCCCGGTGTTTTCCACTTTTTCTCACCTGCCGTGGTAAGAATAGTTTTGGACGGGAAAGAGCGTTGTTTACGCTAAAAATTAATGGGAGTATGCCTCTAGAAAAATTAAAACCTTACCTCCTCCGTGGAAGACGATATATGCAAATCCAGCTCGATTAAGGAATCCTTCACTTGTTCCAGCATGTCCGTCAGCTTGGTCAAATTGAGGTTACCAGGGTAATGCACAAAGTGCGCCATGCATTCAAGTTTCAGCACTTTGAGACTCTTACACCCCTCCAAATTCGGATAGAGGGACGCCGAGATGGCCAGCGTGGTCAGGTTGGGGGCAGCATCGAGCCAAATTTGGACAAGGGGTTGAAATTCATCGCAACTGGTGGTTCTGGGATATAGAAAGCTTGGAAGAAATCTTAACCCGAGCGAGGTAAGGTTAACTTGCGGCGGGAGTTTTTGATACGTCTCAGGGGGAATTATAGAGTCGTCAGTATCCCGTTCCCAGGCGCTAAGGATGTCAATCCGTTGAACTCTAGTGGATCCCAACGTCCTCATTCTTTCGAGGAAAGGGGGGATAAATTCCTTCTGGGCGGGGACAAATCTTATCTCTCGGGTTGACTCGGATACTTTCGTGACCGCTTTTGTAATGACTTCGGTCTTCTCCTCGTCAGACTGGATGGATTGATCGAAACTGTCGGAGATGAGGAGGTGTCGCATCAGTTTGTCGGAGACGGGGGGCACCTCGTCAAACTTGGAGGGAAAAAGCTTGTTCGCGTGGAGAAAGGCACGTTTTGCTAGGAAATTGACGCCAACGTCGTTCCAGTCGTGGCAGACGAGACGACACGTTTTCAGATCGGGGAGGTCGAGTTTTGCGAAAATGACGTCGAGAATCTGGTGGAAAGGAAAAATTGTTGGGTGAGCCAAACGATTATTTACATATTCGTAATTTGAATAAATTAATTTTTGTGAGAGGTTAATCTTTTACGAACGAAATACACACATTTATTTGTGTAGTAGTAGTTTAAGTACTTCCCGCATGAAGTGGATGAAATATGCATATTTTTTGCATACTTAAATTTATAAATTGGGATGATACCAAAATTTCTTAAAAATAAGAGCATTTCTTTGGAAAACTTGATAAATGGTTTTGATTTTTTAAAAATATTTTTCTGTTTAAAGTTTAGAATTTCCCTGGATACATAAATACTGTATATCCAGTCAAAGTTGTTTCAAATCAAAGACTAAAAAATGAGAACTGGCTGAAATAAATATTCGTTTTTTTTCAAGAAATCGTGATAATTTTAATGGATTGTTAGCAGGTGTAATTATAAAATTATTACCCAAGACGAGGAAAAGTTTAATTAAAAAATCTATCATACGAGAGAAATTTACTGACCAAGGGATTCCTGAAAATTTTCGACATGGCGTCGTCAGCGAGGGAGGTATATGTTTTTTCCGAGTCTGCAATTAAACGGAGTGAATTTAGAAAATTAAACTCTCTAGAAAAAAGGAAAATCTTAGTTTTTACGAAAAAAATTAAGACTTACTAAAATTTGGAAAGCTGCCCTCTTCTCCCGAATAGGTTCCCCGAACCTTCCTGTTGTTCACTTCATTTGTGTCACTAAAACCCTGCATGTTGCCGAAAATTCTGAGTGCTCACTAAAAATTTGCAATATAGATCAATACAAAATATGAAATTATATAGCACTTGATTCTTAAGAAAAATGCATATTTATTTATGTACATGATGGAACGGTAAAAACTTGAAACATTAATTTTTAAGTAGCCAGTTACATATTTACCTGAAGTAAAATTGTACCACTTGCAAAGATGACTGCGTACTTTTAATTTGTGTCGATTTTATTCTGTAATGTAAAATTTAAAATGCACATTAAATATTTCTTGTATTTTGTAAATATATGTATGTACACACACAAACCTAAATTTGTAGTTATTTAATTAATCGTGGTACAAATGCGAAGTAGTGAAGAAAATTAGTAACTTTTTTCAGTTCTTTTAGGGATACATGAAAAAACACGTCTTTACACGAGGAGGGTTAAGCAATGACAGAAAAATGTGCATACAACTTTACGCAAGGAAGTCTGTACTGGACAAGTCAGCCTCCCTTTCTAATGGGGCATGCAAGCGGTGTGTTAATTATGTATGCCTCAGTTTTTCTTCTCGTTCACACCTTTCTTTTCTACACCAATTAATTGTGTATTCCTATTATATTCTTTACCCTAGAAAATTACGGTTATCAGGTGAGACTACCTGTAAAGAAGGATAACGTGTGCTTTGCACGCTGTGTCACATTTTACTTATTTTTATGCCGGAATTTGGTCAGGTCTAAAAATGTGAATAGAATTCTGACTATCGATCAAGAAAAGGTTCACATATTATGTCTTAGTGACTTTCAAAAGTTGTAACAAGTTCGTATAATTTATATATAGATATTTACAGATACGTACATACATCGATCGGCATTACTTGTGATACGCACCTAATTTGCATATTTTGACACATTCGCGAGAGAGACAGAGTTTAATCAACATGGAAATCTCGTATAGCAGAAAATGGGCATGGCGAAAGTTATGAAAATGTGGCGAAACGCACAAATAGCTAATTTAATTCCACTGGCCGGTCACCTAATTTGCATATATATTTTGACGCTTTTTCGGGAGACAGTTTCGTCAACATCGAAATTGAAATGTGGGTATATGCAGTGAGATTTATGCAAATGAGGTGATATGCATATTAAGAGGATAGAATGTACATATTTTAATTGCTCAATTAAAAATATTGAAGGGTGAAACTCGTTTATGGTTTTACTATTAATACGTCTTTCGGTCTGCCCGTTCGTTAATATGATGATTAATATGTTGATTAATATGATTAATAATCCTCATGATTAATATGTCGTGAACGTGAACGGGTAAGAATTTCGCGTTCCGATTTTCACGAGTGTTTCTAACTTGAACGGATGAATTGCATAATTTTGTTTAATTCGCTATTCATAGGTTTCCTGCAAATTACTTATTAGCTTCTCCGTGATTGCGGCAAGGGAAGATTCATAAATTATGTCACGCTGGCTCACATGGCCGGGGTAGGGCAAAATTCTAGCCAGCGTGACATAGAACCCGAAGCCATGAAGTAAATACGCAAAATAATTTTATTTGGCTTACCGCAGTCCCCGAAATTTCTACGCTTTTAAATCTTCTACTGTGCACGATGAGGTCTTGAATGTGGGGAAAAAATGTATCCTTCGTAACATCCATGTATTGGAAGATAACACCTTTAACTCCTGTAAATATTATTACAACGGTTCATGCATTAATGTTGAGGATATTGACTACTTCTCCGTATTCCAAAATATTTTAAAAAATAAATATCAAGGGGTCAAGTTTCTTGAAAATCGTGTACGATTCGACATATTTTTTTACCCATAGAGCTTAGGAACAACGAGTATATTTGGAGGTTACTACTGCATTATGCATTATACTCGAGTTCCAGAGAACCGCTGGCTTATGATAGAAGAATATTTATAATGTATACGATGAAATACTCTCATTACCATTAACTCAATTCATAATAACTACATCCATACATACAGTATGCAACAAACTTATAGCAAAGATTTTTTTTTCTTAAGTTCAATTTTCTCATGGACAGGTACATATGTAGATATTTCGAAATTATTTTTGCACCATTTACTTACAATATTATTACTACGTACATATGTATATTGTGGAAAATTTTCAAAGAAATTGAGATAAAATTGTTACAACTAGAAATATTTGACGGGTTGGTTATTTAATGTCAAAATATTATCAACTTTAACAATTTTATCTAAATTCATTTGCCACCATGTATTTATTTAGTTCAATATATTGTGAGTAAATGGTATAAAAATAATTTCGAAATATCTACTTGTTCTTTAGTATTTGAACTTGAGACAAAAATCGTGCATGCCTCTACTATTAACAGATACTTACACTCTTAGAAATGGGGTTACGACTATAACCGAAAAGTAAACGTATGAGACTCTACCGCCGTGGTTATAAGTTTGTCATCGAGTGGTTACAATTGTCACCGACTAATTATGAAGTTTCACCGACTTGCTATTAAATTGTCACAAGAGCAAATAAATTTATAACCAGTTGGTGACAAATTCATAACCAGGGCGGTAGAGTCCCATACGTTTACTTTTCGGTTATAATCGTAACCCCATTTCTAAGAGTGTACATTTGGATGAACTTATTATGACTTGAATCTTACCTTTCAAAATCCTTCACCTGTCCCAGCATCTTGGTCACCTTGGTCACATCGAAGTTAGGAAAATTCTCGTAGCTCGTTACAAACTCAAATTTCAGAACTTTGAGACTTTTACACCCCTCCAAATCTGGATATAGGGACGCCACGACGTCCAGCGTGGTCAAATTGGGGGCAGCATCGAGCCAGATTTGGACAAGGGGTTGAAATTCGTGACATCCGGTATTTTGATCATGTCTAAACTCTGAATGAATTTGGAACCTGAGTGATTTCAAGTTGGGTTGCGGCGGAAGTTTTTGACACGCCTGGACCGGAAGTGTATACTCCGTATTCCGTTGCCAGTGGCTGGTGAGGTCAATCTGTTGGATTTTTGTGGACCCAAACGACCTTATTTTGTCGAGGAAACGACCGACAAATTCCTTTCTGGAGGCGCAAAATTTAATTTCGCGAGTTAATTAAGTCACTTGAGAGAGCTTTTGCAATAATGTCAGTGTTTTCCTTGTTGGACCGAATATAGAATAGGCCAGAGATGAGGAGGCGTCGCATCAGTTGGTCGTTGGCGGGGGACGCCTCACCTAATTTGGGGGCATCGTGAGGAAATAGCTTGTTGACGTGGAGATAGGCCCGTCTTCCTAATACGGTGGAGGCCACGTCGTTCCAGTCATGGCAAACGAGACGAGACTTCTTCAGATCGGGGAGGGTGAGCTTAGAGAAGATGGCGTCGAGAATCTGGCGGAAAATGAGGACTTAATCAATTAAGATTGTGGGACATTTAGAAATTTGATAAACTGAGAGCAACTATCTATGTAAATATTAAATATTAATAAAATCTGTAAATATTAAATATTATATGTATAACTCACCAACGGATTTTGAACAACTTTCGAGATGGAGACAGATACTTTTTTCGAGTCTGAAATTAAACAGAGTCAATGGAAAATTGATTTATCTCATGAATAATAAGAAAGCCTTTAATTTTTAAGAGAAAAATGTAGATTTACCAAAATTTGGAGCTCGTCGCGAAGAAGTTGGCTGCAATTTCATGTTGTGTGAATTCTTGTCACGAAAATTATTCTGCATGTTGTCGCGATTGTTAGTACGTCGTCCGTACCTAGAATTAAAACAGTATCAAATTAGCACGTCATTCTTCATAAAAATACGTAAATCAAACGATAAATACTTAAAAGCTTGCTAAATTAGGTAAATATTTATTTATTTACCTGAGCAATACTTGCTAAACTTTTGAACTTGTTGATAATGACTGGGTGCTTTCAATTTTTGCTGATTCTAAGATATAAAATACGAATTAAATATGTATTTGCATTACTACATATGATAATTACCTTACGTAGTAATTAGAATGCGATTAAACCACTACTATCATAACTTCCCAGTTTTCTAAAACTTTGGAAATACAGAAACGTTGGACTTCACATGACGAGAGTTAGGCAAGGACAGAAATATTTATGCAAAAAGAGACTTGCACAAGCCGGCGTCCTTTTCGAAAGGGTACATTCAAGAATTGTGTGCTTTTTGCCTCGGTTTTACTGCTTGTACGAATCTTTATTCTCATCTGAGGCTTAATTACTAAATATTCATATTATCCATTAAAATTACGATTAGGTTAAAGTAACGGTATCTTTCCCATTGTTAAAAAGTTATGACGTTTGCTTTGCACGTTCCTTCACAATCAGTGTTTCGCTTTTGCCGGCTAAAATCGTTTTTTGTTGGCCAGTGGTCAAAAGTGGTCAAAAGTGGCCGAAAGTGGCCAAAATGGTAGAAAGTGGCCAAAAGTGGTCAAAAGTATTTTATTGGCTCATGACTTGCGCGGTGGGTTTAAACAGGCTCTCGGCCGTTATTATTAATTCTTTGCCCAAAGAATAATCGTAGTTCTGACAAAGTAATTGAAATAGTCTTATAATTACGAATCTAATTAATTCAACGTGCACAAATATAGTAAGTAATGTCATTTGCTCATGTCATTTAATCATTTGCTCGATACTTGAATATTTTAATGGCTCATTTGTCAATTATTAATTGTTCCTGTGTCAATTATCAATTTTTCCTGTTTGAATTATTAATAATGCAATGTGTTATTTATTACTTATTTCTAGAGCTAATGAGCAATTTTTAAATTTTAGATCCAATCATACAGCGATGCCAGTAATAAATAATCGTCAACTTGTTCTGCTAGATCCTGATGAAATCATCAATGTCCTTAGTAAAATCATTAACTTATCATTCCTCAAGACAAATATAGCAAATTATACAACTAAATTTGATTGTTTAGATGTCGAGGAAGAATTAGGAGACGGGGACTCATGTTCAAGCCCCCGAGTAGATGACGTAGGACGAGGAGAAAATTCTGCTGAATTTAACGTTCAAATAGAAAACAAACGGTAGGAGTATGCAGATTCAAATATGTCTGATGATGACATAATTCAACGATATGGAACGCCAGAATTCATAGATGATGATGACATGGATTTGGACTCGCAATTATCGCTAAACTCGGAGGAAGAACTAGATCATAATAGGACAGATTTACAATCACATGACAATGGAATCAGTGCAGTCGCTGTTGGTAATTGACACTGGAACACTTTCATGACACAGGAACAATACCTTTTTTATCTTATTGCAGTCAGCAGTGACAATTCATCTCGTACGAAAGTTGGTAAATTGCTTGGGCGAGCGGGAGATCTTATTTGGAGTAATTTTGATACAAAATACAATGGCCATAAAGTTATCTCCAATAAATGCAAGATATGTAAAGTTGCTGTGAGTGCAAGAGCAAGGAGAATGAAAAGTCATGTGATGACCTGCAAAAATTCGATTGTTGCCAGTCGCTCAAGTTCCTGTCCAGCCGTTCCCGTGTCAGCAGCAAATACTGTTCCTGTGTCAGCTGTCGGTTCCATATCAGTCATTGAAAAACAACTCCAGGAAGAATTTCTACACCAGAAAATTAGCGGTCTGGATGGAACTAATAAAATTCAAACTGGGATTAAGAATTTTGTCAAGATTATCGGAGGAAAGGCCAAAGATGAGCTGGACAAGGCACTAGGGAAATTCTTGTTCTCTGGAAATATTTCATTTAACATTTTGGAAAACAAAGAATTTAAAAATTTTGTCAATCTGCTAAATCCTGCATACACGGTTCCTAGTCATGACAGAATAGGTAGCACCGTATTGGATGCTGTTTACAAAGAGGTCTGGGAAATTATGGAGAAAGAACTCGAAAAGTACAAGTGGAGTGCTGCTGCAGGATGGCTGGTCGTCTAATCAAAATGAAGCTGTTATTGCTCATTGTTTGAAATCTGGAGGAAACATTCATCTACTCTCGACAAGTAGTCCTTCAAATGAGAAAGCAGGAGCTGAATATTGCTACCAACAGATTCAGAAAGCAATCGAAGACGCTAAAACTCAATTCAATTGCAACGTGGTAGGGGTCGTTACGGATAACTGCAGCACAATGTCGGCGCTACACAAATTAATCAGACAAAACTATCCCGAAATCGAGACGATTGGATGCAATGCGCATTTATTTAATTTATTAGGCAACCACTTTACGCCAAGTGACCTAAAGGCGCAAATCAATGCTGTCCAGTCTTTCATGAAAAGCCATCATTTTACAATGGCGTCATTGAAGAATCGTAAAGCTAATATGCCAGTCTTACCAGGATGCACACGTTGGAATTCCCAGATTGATAGTTTTATCAATTACAAAAATAATCACGCAGACTACCTAAATGTTGCCCGAGAAATAAAGAAAAACTCTTTGGATAAGAAGACAGGAGAGAAATTAGATAAAGTACTAAATATCTTAAAGGATACCTATGTTTACGACTGCGTGGAATCGTCCGTGAAAATTTTGGAACCAATTTGTAGAGCCTTGGATGGGGTAAGGCAAATAAACTTACACAGGAACACTAACAGACTGACACAGGAAAAGTATATTTAACTCAGTTATTACGATTGTTTTCAGTGCCAGCAAAATTCGGCCACTATTGCGGATGCAGTTCATTATTGGATCAAACTTGATAACGAACTTCCTGATGTCATTTCTGACGATCTTTACTACCAGAAGCAGAGAAAGTTAGGCATGCTGCCGGTTTCAATTGCAGCATATCTGTTACATCCAAAGTACAAAGGTATCCGAAAGTATTTCTTCTGCTGTTCTTGTGTCAGTTGTATAATTGTTCCTGTGTCAGTTGTATCGATGTGCTTGTTTCAATTATGTAATTCGTATCTATATCTCAAGCATTTTATTTTTATAATTTGTAATATGTAGGTGCAGAATTAAGGGATTCTGATAAAAATCTTGGAATAAATTGGATCTCATCGAAAAACAATTTTTACATTTGCATCAGTGGAGAACTAAAGAAAAGGAAACCGGATTACTTTTTTGACTCATACTTGGACCCGGAAGTACAGGCTTCGATGACTCCATTGGATTGGTGGAAGCAGTCCGCGACATCAGCAGTTCCAGTTGATTTACTTAAAATAATTGAAACTTTATTTACACTCCCGGCTGGTTCAAGCGGAATTGAAAGATGCTTTTCTACACTGGGAAACATCATGACAAAACATCGGAACAGGCTAAGCGTGGAGAAGGCGACTAAGTTATGTTGTATTAATGGTTTCTATAAACTAATGCATGAACAAGAAAATAAGAAAAATAACTCCGAACGGCTCAGGGGAAAGAGGAAATTTGATTCTGGACAGGTTTCGATTTGATATTGTTTATTTGTCAAGTTTTATGCTGCTCCTGTGTCACCTAAGGTGTTCCCGTGTCAGATCAATGGGTTTGTTACGATTTTATGAACAATTTATTTACCGAATCATAATAAACTTGTAATGAAACAACAAACAATACTTTTTAGAACATTCAATATTTATTTTTCTTAGATTTTGGGAGTTTTTTAATGTCATCAAATTTGTTAATTGGAAAGTTGTCGGACCTGTTTATCATACATTCCTCTTTAGCCAGGTTTTGATAAATTCTAAATAATTTCATCGTATAGATGGCATCCTTCTCGCCACTGTGCACTCCGTCTTGAATATCGGTGTGAAAGTAGTGGAGAACTAATCTGCGTAAGCTAATTGGTTGCATGACGGGGTATCCGTGATTATCTTCTCCATTTTTTTGAAGAAACTTGTGTTGAATATCAAAGGTGTCATAGTCTCCAGTTATTAACCCAAATGCTTTGAAGTCACCATGCCCGGCCTGTGTGATAATTAATGATCCTTCGAAATGAGACACTACTTGATCCCTTATTTCGTTGAAATTGTTCCCGTTTTCTAGGTCAAATTTTTTAAATCCAGTGATAGCAACATGAGCATAATCCGTCAAGAAACTCCCTGGAGCATGTTGAATTTTTTCCTGGTGGAGTGGAAAAGATATATATTAATCTAAAAGTCGCGAATAGAAAAAGCCAAATTCTATATGAATGAGTTACCGATAGTATAATTCCACCCTCGTAATCTACTAGAGCCACTGTTCCAGGCGAATTCTTTTGGTTTCCAATTGGTTGAATAAGTGTAACCATCTCTGTGTCAAAAGCAATAATGTTACTTTCTGCATACACTTCCCACCAAAACACTTTTCTCGGCGATGATAACAGTGAAGACGATGCGACAGGAACAATGGGAGCAGACGATGGTGACACAGGAACAGACGACGCTGACACAGGAACACACGATGATGACACAGATGATGACGCAAGGAGCTTCCGCCGTATTTTTTGACCAAGACGAGGAATGGGCCTGCTTCGCTTCTGTGCTGTGTTGACCAGTTTCTGAACGATCTTTAGCTCGCCTGGCGAACAGCAAGCTAAAATTTCACGTACGAAGTCCATTCGAGATTTTTCGTCCGTTCCCCTCATCCAGTTAAATGCCTCGTTTGGGTATGACATTTTTCCCAGTTTGACTAAAAAACTATAAAAAAAGAGAAGTAATTGTTAATCCTCACCCTTTATATCATGCAAAATTTTGGGGGCATAAATTTACCTTATCGATAAGTGTTTGATGGTGGAGGAAGGAATTGTTGTTGAAGTATTTAAATTGACTATTTATGTTGTGTCAGTAGTCCAAGCTGTTGGACCGACCACCGTGTTGTGAGTACACTTTGCGGCATGCATTTGTCGCAGAATGCCCCATTTTTTGCATTTTGACCACTTTTGGCCACTTTTGGCCACTTTTGACCATTTGCCACCTATTTTGATAAGTGGTCAAAAGCCACTTTTGGCCGCTTTTGACCGGCGGTCTGGCCAATCCGGTTATTGCCAAGCGAAACACTGTTCACAATGTGAAGTTCACATTTTACATATTGTTATGCCAGAATTTGGATTCAAGTATAAAGTTTCAAATAGAATTCTGAGTTAGGATCAGGAAAAGGTTCGTAAATAAGCACGTGGTCTCCCTAAGGGTATGCTATGAACAATGAGCAATGAAAAATTTTTCATCAGCGATTATTGGTATTCTCACCGCTGCATGTATGTAACACATAAATAGGTGCGTTGGTACCTTCAAAATACATGATTTGTAATGGGCTTGTTGTTACAAAGTTAACTGTATTATTATTAGATTTACATTGTGTTGCTACAAATTAGCAGAGATGAGCCGTGGCTTACGTCCGCAAATCCGAATACGAATAACTTCATGAATAAATTTTCCTGTGCGAAACTCCTCCGAAAAATACAAATTGAATGGTACGAAATTTTTAGTCTAAACTTGTTTCATTGATTGCATGTTCATATTGAATTTCAGCCAAGGTCCAATTTTAAGTAATGGCGAGGTGATTGTATCTCCAGAAATTCTGCGACAATCCATTGCGAAACAGAGTTTATGTATGAATAGTCCCTAAGGGTGAAGGGTTGGCTGTTTTCGTTCAGGAATTTGTCAAATTTTGCCTCGTTGCTATGGTTGAAAAATGTAGCCTTTCTCACATCACCCGTAATGATTATAATGATTATAATCATTCCTATACACAAAACACGGTAAGACGCGATATTTAATCATTTACATCCCAGATCCTAGCAGAGCCGGGTGATTATTGGTTTTTGATGGTGAATTAAGGATTAACGAAAATAAAGTGGATTGTGATTAAATTATTTTCATGGGATTAATTCATGTCCGGATTAATCCATAAATTCTGGAAATTTTCGGATTATGGATTAATAATCCGGGTTAATTTTGCGATTAACGATTTTTAAAAAAATTATTTAACACCCAAGATAAAAATATTTAACACCCAAGTTGCAATTGCTAAAGCACGAGGCAGCGAGAACATGTATTGAGTCTTCGAATTGTAGCTGGCAGGACAAAGTTGTGAGAAGTTGAGACTTCAGGTAACACAGTGTGAGGAAATCTTTCTAAAATCAAAATAAAAACTAATTTTTTATCAATTTATTCTATCTAGTAGGTAATAAATACTTAAATTAATCCAGGTGCATATGTAGATCCGTAAAAAATGGCCAACGGTTTTTGCATGATTACATCGTACCCAAAGTTGTAGCGACGTAGCAAAGCTACACACACATTACGAGTTGAAATATATTTTAAGATACTTTTTCGGTTAAATATTTATTGGTTTTGGAACTAGCAATCGAGTTAAGCAATTTTCCAAACTTTATTATTTTTTTAAGTAATAATATATATAAATATGCAAAGTTGTAAATTTTAGGAACGTGTTGTCTGTGTGTTACACAATGTGGTGATGAGAGCGTTTAAGTAGAAGAATTACAAGTAAAAGTTGTAGTATTGAAACCCCAGTTGACTTTTATCTAAGAAGAATATACTCCGCTGATTTCCTTGTGAACCACGCCTCCCGAAAAATGAATGGGTGCACCACTCGCTTCAAAAATGGATCGAATCCGTTCCACGATTTCCGGTTCCTGAATTATAAGAAATCTGTAAAATATGTACTGTCCACATTTATACTTGAAAGTTATTTTACTGACCATAAACCCTGCGATTTCTACGCTTTTAAATCCTCTACTTTGCAAGATGAGATCCTGAATGTGGGGAGAAAATTGGTCCTCTTTGATGTCGACGTCCGAGAACCGGGCACTTTTAACTCCTGAAATAATTACGACCTTTCATTAATATTGTAGTCAATTAAATAAATCCTCCAAACGAATATAAATAAGTATGTAGCGTCAGAGCGATCGCAAATTCCTTTATCATTATTCTCAAATGACCTCGTCCTCACGATTATAAGGTAAAAAATATTGAATTCATGGTGAAATTTCCTTTAAAATGACACCCCATATGAAAATTCAGGTTAAATTTAATTTTTGATGATCCCTCGCGCTATGGGGTGTCTAATTTACCCCATTTTCTAACTCGACCGAGAACTACAAATTAAATAATAAAAATAATAAAATAATAATAATAATATAATAATAATAAAACCTCGAAAACGGTGTTTGATTAGGTGATCTTCTGCTTACGGATGGACGGACAAAACGATCACATTAAGTACATTTGTAGCTGAATAATTCTGTATGGGTTGATTTTACCTTTCAAACCGGACATCGCTTTAAGGACGTCCATCAGAACCGAGATTTTGCTCACCCCATCCACGTGCACACTGACCCGTTCCAAATCCCACGTTTTGAAAGGTTCAATGATCTCGCTGAGGGCCGGAATATCATTAAAATCTATGTCCTTCAAGGCCAAATTGATTTCCTTAACGGAGGGAAATAAATCCACAATTTTTCCCCTGAATTCCTCATCTTCCCAGCATGCAAATGAATTCAAGCTCAACGCGATAGATTGAACTCCCCTGTGTCTCCTCCATAATTTTAAGAAGGATGAACTACACGAATCTTGATGTATGTCGTGGACGCGGAGGGTTTTTAATTGGGGGAAGTGGTCTTCATCAAAAAAATTAAGAATTTGGTTCCCATCTGTGGGGTGGATTGCGAGCGTGGTAAGTTTCGACATGACGGGACCTCCGGTAACAGGTTCCGTCTGTAGAATATTTATAACATTAAACATTAGACATTATAACACTTTAAAAACATTTAGTACGGATTAACCTCTTTTCACTTAAATACGTCATATGACGTATTTCAAAACATGAGACCAAATACGTCATATCACGTATCGAAAAAAATCTGTTGCAGATGTCACAAATTTTCTCAAAATGCGAGTGAAACACTCGCATTTGATATTTTGTGGAAACTCTATGGTAAAAAGTTGACTTTTTCTGATATTTTTCTCCGCAAATTCTGGAATTTTCCCTATACCGACCAATGTTAAAGAGTGGAATTTTCGTGATTTTCGCCCAAAAAAACTCAACACTCTACGAAACTAGTTGAAATAAATATTGGCTGTTTACGGAAAATCATGGAAATTCAATTGGTTGCTACCAGATGTAGTTATGAATTCAATATCGTACTCAACGGAAAATTTAATCGAGATAAATAAAGTTGAAAGTACCGGGTACTCTCGGAAATCAACAATAAACACGTAGCCTGTGCAATTTAGGAAAACTAGTTTTCAATAAAAAATTTTTAGAAATTTTACTTTGTTTACGCTAAAAAGTGAACGTGAGTATGTACGCCTCTAGTAAAATTAAAACCTTACGTTCCCCGTGGAAGTCCATATCCCCAATTCCACCTCGATTAAGGAATCCTTCACCTGTCCCAGCATGTCCGTCAGCTTGGTCAAACTGAGCTTACGACGATAATCCAAAAGGTGCGCTATATACTCAAATTTGAGAACTTTAAGGTTTTTACACCCCTCCAAATCCGGATAGAGGGACGCCTCGACGCCCAGCGTGGTCAAATTGGGGGCTGAATCGAGCAAGATTTGAACAAGGGGTTGAAATTCCTCGTTACTGGGGGTTCTGGTGCACATAAAGCTTGGAAGAAGCCTTAACCTGAGCGAGGTGAGGCTGGGTTTCGGGGGGAGTTTTTGATAAGCCTCGGCTGGAAATTTGTACACCTTATCGCGTCCCCAAGCGCTGATAATGTCAACGCGTTGGACTTTAGTGGACCCCAAAGTCCTCATTCTTTCGAGGAAGGTGGGGATGAATTCCTTCCGAGTGGCGGCAAATTTAATTTTGCGGGTTAATTCGGACACTTGAGTGAACGCTTTTGTAATAACGTTGGTCATCTTCTTCTTGGATTGGTCACATCTGTCAGAGATGAGGAGGTGTCGCGTCAGTTTGTCGGAGACGGGGGTCACCTTAGACGACTTAAGCTTGTTGGCGTGGAGATAAGCCCGTTTTCCTAGTAAGGTGGAGGCGACGTCGTTCCACTCACGGCAGACGAGACGAGACGTCATCAGATCGGGGAGGTCAAGCTTGGCGAAGATGGTGTCGAGAATCTGGAGATAAATTTATAATTGTTCGATTAAACGGAGTGGTCAATCAATTAGGAATTTATTAGAAATTTGAAAAAAATCAGGGCAATTGTTAGTCGACCTCTTGTAGATTAAATAAGCATGTTTGTTTGTTTAATATTTTATTTTGTCTATGCGACGAAATATATATATAAATACATATGTACGTGTGGTATAAATAGTACCCCGATATCAAAATTTGTCAAACGAAAGAGTAAATATTTCTTAGGTATTTTGTTGAAAACTTGATGATAAAAAGTTGTTAAAATTTTAATTGGTTTCTTTCTATTATGTGTAATTAATTATGAAATCAACATCGTATCCGAGAGAAATTTTATCTATTAAAAAATCAGTACTATCGAAAAGGGGAACTTACCAAAGGATTCCTGAAAACTTTGGACATGCTGTTGTTAGCGTTCACACGTGCTTCTTTCGAGTCTGCAATTAATAAAGTAAATATAAAAATTGAGAATCACTCGAAACAAAGAAAAGTGTAGTTTTTAAGACAAAAGTTTGGAATGCAGGATTTACCAAAATTTTGAGAACTCCTCTCTTCTCGTGAAGAAGTTGACCGTAAATTCATACTGTGTCGATTTTTATGCCTAAAATCCGCCTCGTTCAGCATATTTATTGTTGAGTAGGTAAGTGAGTCGTCTTTACCTAGAATTGACAATAGTGAGCAATAAACATTATATCAGCAAAAAATACGCATAAAATCGTAAAACCGTAAAATAGTTGTTAATTAATTAGGCAAATTAAAATTTAATTAACCTAAATATTTAATCATTGAATATTTATTCGCCTAAATTAAGCTGTCGCAACTTTGAAGAAGATCACTGTGCTCTGAACTTTCGTCTATTTTACGCTGTGAGCTAAATCATAAAAAATGTATAAATATAAGTTTGCATAAAAATACATAGTAATTACCAGACGTCGGTTATGAATGATCAATAAAATCTGAAAATATGAATGAAGAATTACCGAAAAATTCCTAAAATATGACCAACCGTATTTTTTATTTATTTTTGGCCTAGTTTGATACTCTATTTTTATCAATAAGACGAGTGCTGCGATGATTTAGTTTATTGGCAATAAATTACATCACCTCAGACGAAAGTGAATGGAAATTTTTGGAAATTTCTCGCAAGGAATCAAAACTGTACAACTGAACTTTTTGTCATTTTCTGGAAATGTGGTATATAAACATTAGAATTTGGCCAAAAGTCACGAAATAAAGGAAAGACCCGAAATATGATCGTGAATATATTTATATGCCCCAAAACCAGAAAATATGACTAATATGAGAAAATATGCTCCGACCTAAATACGTGTCTCCGACCTAAATACCTAATCACATTCATATCAGACGTATGGTAACTACTTGGGTTTATGGTTCGCTTCAAATTCTCAGCCTTAAAAAATTATTGGCTAGGAATCGAAATTTAAAATTTCCACGGTCAACTGAAGTTAATTTTTTAATTAAATATAGATAACTCAATTATTTTTAGGACGAACCATTTACATAAACTTTAAGTTTATGATTCAGACCCAAAAATCGTTCATTTTGTAACAAAGTTATCAATAATTCTCAAAATCTTATGGATCGTAAAACCCCACATCCGACTTACCTTTAATTATCAATGATTGATCCTCTGTTGATGGCCGAACTAACTAAAACACGAGTGAAATTTGAAGAAAAATATAAAATTCAACTTAGGATTTTTCTTTATTTCCGAGATTTGAAAACGAGTGTCTTTACACGACGAGGGTTAGGCAACAAATGAAATACCTTTCTATGACAGGAGGACTGGAGGACTGGACAAATTAGTGACCCTTTTTGAAAAGGGGTATCCAAGCATCCTGTGGTTCATGCAATTTTTCTTATTGATAAAAAAATTAACTTATGCAGTGGCCATGGAAGAAGGGACATAAACGATGTGGGATAGTGGGGAAGAGGTTTCCATAACATGGGTAGACGATGGGGACATCAAATGTCATTGTCCCTCTCTACCCAAACTTCCACGGACGCTTTGCCTTTTTTATACATATATAGGCAGGAATTTGGACTTAAGATTAAGATTAAGAATAGAATTCTGAGTATCGATGAAAAAAAGGGTCATATGGGTACATACGGTTGGTATTTTATGATTAGACCCTTTTCTGCATAAGAAACACAGGTAAAAAAAGGTCTAATTTTAATGCACAAACAATGGTATGTGCGAGTCTTATACAGTTGTTACAAGTTGACCGTCATGGTGTGTGCAGATATGTCTGAATGTATGCAATTTAATTGTGTCGTTAATTTAAGCCTGGCACTCAGGACGGATTTTCCACGTAAACAAGTTCTAACGAGAACGAAAATAATATGATTTACAATTTTATAATTTATTTGAAAAAACACTAACATTGGGTACATATTGTAGTAAAATTGAGGTAATTTCATTAAAATGGTAATTTAATATAAATCCAGAAACCGTTCGTTTCGAACGAATTATTTATTTTAGCGAAAATTTAAAATTTAAAATGTTTATTCACAATAATTTGCTTGATAAGTGCATACATATTAAAAATCCATTTGTAATTTTTTTGACTTTATCTTAATAGAATTGAGAAACCGATAAAAAATCTTGAAATTATAAGTTCGCGACAATTAGATTTTCAATAAATTAGAGAAATCCTCCTATACAAATATGTTTTTGAATTCGCTAAGAATTAAGAATTTTCATACGGGTTTTATACTTCCAAGTACAAGGAATTAAATTTTAAATTATTTAAATTTTGTACTAACTAGATTTTTACGTTTAGATTATTAAATATGAATTTCACACCTCAACATTTTTATTGAGCATGAATACTACGCTAAAAAGGGAGTATCTTGTCTAATAAAACGTATTTTAAGATATGTATGTATACTGTATCTTGAGTACTTAATTTTTAGTAAAGTGTCTTGTATCTTATGTACCTGAACAAAATGTCTTATCTCTTATATCTTATCCGAGAAAGTATCTTAATTTTTTATCTTCTATTTTCGGAGCGAAGGATCTCGGGCAAATCCCATATTCGACACATTTCGAGACAATTTATGAATCACCCCTCCCGTAAAATTAATGGGGGCACCACTGGCCTCAAAGATGGGTCGAATCCTTTCCACAATTTCAGATTCCTGCATTTTTAGAAAACGGAATATTTATTGGACAAATTTATGCATGAAATGTATTTTACTGCTTGGGTTACCACACGTCCAGAGATTTCTACGCTTTTAAATCCTCTGCTGTGCAAGATGAGATTTTGAATGTCGGGAGAAAATTCACTCTCCAGGACGCCAGTGTTCCAGAATCGGATACTTTTAGCTCCTGAAATAAGTATGACCGTTTATTATATTACTGGAGTAAGGCCTGGTTCTAGTACCCCCCGGAGGAGGGGGGAAGATGGGGGGTTGGGAAGTATATAAAACTTATGACCATGAATTTTATGCAAATATTTCCTGTTTCTGCTATGGACCTCTTCAAACATTTGTACATTGTACTTCATTTGTACATACCTTGAGAATTTTTAATTTTATCAAGCCCAGTTGGTCAAAAGAATGCAAAATGTAATTAAAAATGTATTTAAAAATTAACATGTTTTCCGATCAACCTTCCCAACCTAAGTCATATTTACATGAACTTTGATACTTCATCATCCGAATAATATTTATTATTCAAATTTAATCTATTATTGACCTCCTTGATCTCGAATTTGAATCATAGTGATGAATAAATTGTCATACCAATTAAGCGTAAAATTTCAGGTCAAAAGGTTGCCTGATGTTAACTTAATCTTAACTTACCCCTCAAAACGGACATAGCCTGCAGGACATCAGTCATCACGAAGGAATTTTTCACCCCAACCACGCTAACGTTGACCCGTTCCAGTTCCCACGTTTGTAACGGTTCGGTAATCCAGCTGAGGTCGGGAAGGGAAGCAATGTCTTCCGGCGTCATGTTCAAATTGAATTCTTTAACGGAAGGAAATAAATCCACCGTTTTTCTCCAGTAATCCGCCCCAAAACCAATGGAATCCATGGTCAATGCGAGAGACTTAACTCCCCTGTGTCGCCTCCACAGGTTTAAATATGGCAAAAACGACGAGTCGTGACATATGTTGTGGACTCGGAAGGTTTTTAATTTTGGGAGATGGTCTTCGTCAAAAAAGTCAATAATTTCGAGAGGTTGGTGCGCATTTTTCGCATGAATTGAGAGAGTGGTAAGTTTCGACATTACAGGACCCCCCTTAACAGGTTGGATCTGTTGAATGCAAAAAAGTTAGTAAATAACACGGATGTGCCGTCATATTATCATTGACAAATTGACTAATTCGTTTGACATTTAAAATTTTACACAAATATGACATGTTCAAATTCTCATAAATAAATATCTATATGCGCGATACATATTTGTCATAAATGTCGGTCACCTTGCGACAACTTAAATGGTCAAAACGATAAATCCACGAAGGATTGAACTTTTAAGGAAATTGAGAAACTATGCCACTGTGTGTCTCAAATTCCCTCAAATAATGCTGATAGATACGTGCCGTAGTTTCTCAGAATTCTCAATTTTCGTAAAATTTCAATTCTGCGTGGATATCGGCTTGCCAAGGACAAGCTTAAGATAAACAATATAAAGTATCGTGCCAAGTCAGGGGCCACCCATAAATTACTTACTGCGAGAGAGGGGACGGGGAAAATCTTGAAAATCGGAATTACATAATTTATGGACGGCATCTCACGGCCAATCTCTCTCAAAAAATATTTGTAAAATGCCTCCATTAAAAAACCTTACCTGCTGCATGGAGTCCCACACATTTAATTCTAGCTCGATTAAGGAATCCTTCACCTGTCCCAGCATGCTTGTCAAGCTACCAAAATTGAGTTCACGACTACCCAAATCGCTCGTGATGCACTCAAATTTCAGCACTTTAAGACTTTCACACCCCTCCAAATCCGGATAGAGAGACGCCGCGACGTCCAGCGTGGTCAAATTGGGGGCAGCATCGGTCCAGATTTTGATTAGGGGTTTAAATTCCGACGTCGCGTCGGCCCCATCAAATCCATAGTCTGACACAATTTTGAACCTCAAGGAGGTCAGGTTAACTTGCGGGGGGAGTTTTTTATACGACTTGGCAAAAATTATGTAGTCGTCCATACCGCTATCCCAGGCGCTGACAATGTCAATCCGTCCGACTTTGGTGGACCCTAACGCCCTTATTCCTTGGAGGAAGACGGGCACAAATTCTTTCTGGGCGGGGACAAATTGTATTTCCCGCGTTAATTCTGACACTTTTGGGAGTTCTGTGAGCCCTCTTGTAATAAAGTTATTCTTCTTGCTGTAAGAAATTAACCCGTCGAATTTGCCGGAGATGAGGAGACGTCGCATCAGTTTGTCGTTGACGGGGGGCACCTTGGACGACTTGTAGGGAAAAAGCTTGTTGACGTTGAGAAGAGCTCCTTTTCCTAGTAAAGTGACCCCGACATCGGCCCACTCACCGCAAACGACACGGCACGTCTTCAAATCGGGGAGGTCAAGATTGGCGAAGATGGCGTCGAGAATCTTGTGGAAAATTAGAAATTGTTCAATTTAGAGGGTGGGACAATTATGTATGTAGAAATTGGAAAAACTGAGCGCAATTATGTATCTGTGTAACTCACCAACGGATTTCGAACAACTCTCGACATGGAGACAGATACTGTTTTCACGTCTGGAATTAAACAGAGTCAATCGGGGAAATTGATTTGTCTCGTAAATAAATAATTAAGAAGCCTTGATTTTTTTAAAGAGAAAAAATGTAGATTTACCAAAATTTGGAGATCTCCTCTCCCCTCGTCGCGAATAAGTTGGCTGCAACTTCATGCTGTGTAAATTTTTGTCACTAAAATTCTGCATGTTGTCGCGATTGCGAGTATTTATGTCGTTCCTTCCTAGAACCATGTAAAAGCAATATCAAATTAGCGCGTCATTTTTAATAAAAAAAATACGCACATCAACTATAAAACTTAAAGCTTGCTTAATCAGGTAGGTAAAGGTAAGGTTATGTATTTACCTGAATAATTTACTTGCTCAGCTTTTGGAATCGTTGATAATGACTGCGTACTTCTAATTTAAGTTGATTTTACGCTATAACGTAAAATATATTTAAAATACTAATTACTAAGATATTTATGTTCTTTATTATTAATCCTCTCTTATTTGATGTTGTAGTAATTGACATACACGATTAAATTATTATTTCAGCGAGGAAGTTTTCTAAAATTTTGGGGATATGGAAACTTGTGACTTGAAATGATGAGGGTTAGGCAGCTAAAGAAATACTTATTTATGTCAAAAGAGAGTCACACAAGCTGGCGTCCCTTTCTAAGGGGACATTCAAGAATTTTGTACTTTCTGCCTCAGTTTTTTTCGGCTTGCCCGCATCTACAATTATCTATATACTCATCGAAGCCTGAAATACTATAAATGTTCATATTATTTTGTGTCCCTTCGAATTCTGAGTAGCAGGTCAGCGTATTTTTCTCATTGGTGAAAAGTTGTGTATAACGTATGCTTTGCGGGTTCCGTCACTTTTTTAAGCCGGAATTTGTGCACGATTATAAAGTTAAGAATAGAATTCTGAGCAAGGATAAGGAAAAGGTTCAGGAATACGTGGTTTCTTAAGGGTTGGCGCTGGAGGGATTGGAAATCAAAATTTTCCATCGATAACTACACTCAAAACAAAACGGTGTCAATATATGACTTAACCGCCTTGGTTACAATTGTGATTCCGAGTAGTAATGATTTTTTTCCGTCCGGTTATAACATTATAACTACCGGTATCAAAATCATCAAAACTCGGATTCAACATTGTAACCATGGCGGTAAAGTCATATATTGATACCGGCGGTGTTGATTCGACAAATTTTTATTTTGAGTGTATTTGTTCTCAGCCCTGCATGTAACACATATGTACATACCTTAAAAATATAATTAGTATTGGACATATTACACAGTTAAATGCATTACATATTGGGCGTACTCACGACAACTTCTTATTTCGCATCACAGCTCATTTAGCAAATTTGTGAAGATGAAAATATTTCTGCCGTGAGGGAATTGGCAAAATATGATTTCGCAAATGTACTGAAAACACGTATTTTGGTATTGTTTCCTTCCATGGATTTCTGTAATTTGTCTTGCTCGTAATGGTGAGGATGAGCTTGCGAAATAATTTTGCTAAATAAGAACCTATCGAATTTCTAGGTAAATTTGCCAAAAAATGGCATAGTTTACCATCAAAAATTTTGCGAAATGTCGCATACCTCGAAGAACTTCACAAATTATGTTCCTGTGCTCACCCAATTTGTCAATTTGCGAGATATGCCAGATATGCGAAGGTTGACGTGACTACGCTCATAATAACATTGAGCGTACTCACGTCAACCTTCGCATATCTCGCATATCTCGCAAATTGAGCATAGCAACATAACTTGCGAAGTTTTGCGAGATATGCGAGATTTCGCAAAAATTTTGCTGGAAAACCATGGGATTTTTTTCGCAAATTTACCCAGCAAATGGGCATGTTCTTATTTCACAAAATTACTTCGCAAACTCATCCTCACCGTCGCCAGCAAGAGAAATTAAAGAAATCCATGGAAAAAATACCAAAATAGGTGTTTTTCAATAGATTTGCGAGATTAGAGAGATTTGCGAACTCATATTTTGCCAATCCCCTCACGACAGAAATATTTTGATCTTCGCAAGTTTGCTAAATGAGTTGCGATGCGAAATAAGAAGTTGTCGTGAGTACGCCCATTGTTTTGCTACAAATTAGACTGATGGACTGGAAATGCGGCATGGACAATCCATGATCCATGCGCATGCCTGACAAGTGTGTGACACTCGTGACTACTTGATTAAATATTACATTTTCTCGCGTTGACCCATTTGTAAACATCTGCATTTTTATTGATACGATTATTTACATACACATTCGAATTACATAAATAAACAAAAACAATGAACGCATGCTAAACACATACATATGTTGTAATCCATTTAAGTAATTCAGCTTTTAAAACTTACAAAAAATCTGTCTAATATTTAAAAAAAAAACCTAAATTTGTTATTGATTCATTCCGAATAGCAGGTCATATTTAAATTAATCCAGGTAGACAACCTGTAAAAAATTTCAAACGGTTTTTACATGATTACATCATACCTAAAGTTACAGCGACGGATCGAAGGTACGTAAATGCTAATATCAAAACATATCATGTATTTCCTCTTAAGTGGAACTGCGTTATCTTAAAGTATGCTGTGCAGTTAGTTGAGACTGAAATGCAGCATTATAATTTTTTGAGACGCAACTTCAAGGGCGTCCAGGGGTATAAAGCGTTTTTTCTAAAATGACGAAATTCAATAGAAATCGGGCTGAAAGTAAAACACTTGTAAATCGAGTTTTTCAAAACTAAAAAAACGTCGCCCAACGTGACTCGAACATGACGTGGCAACACTTCAAAACTGAAGTATGTCACAAAACGAAAATCTGCGTTTATATTTCGAACTATTAGGATGACAAAAAGCTAAATTCAAATAACATTCGAGGCCACCACTCGTCACAGCCACCACCAAAAAAGTGGAAGCCGTAAAAAAATTCTTCACCACGAATCCTTCCGGATCAAGTCCTACGGAAGCTAGGGAACTGAAAATCTCAAAAAGCTTGTTGTGCAGCATTTTAGTTAATCAACTGGGGAATACAGAAAAAATCATACCAAGTCTGGGAAAAAATGTTCGGGACCAGAAAACCAGGGTGCAAAAAAGTTGCAAAAAAACCAGTTTACAAATGTCATGAAAAATTATCATCGTTTGTGACGAGACCTACGTCGACCCTGATCCCTTAAAGACTTCGAAAAGCACATTTTTTCACTCTGGCAACCCAGTGAGTGTAGATTATCAACAGAAGTTGTACATGAGATCTAAATTCCCTTCAAAATTCCAAGCAAGGCTTACATTGAGACAAATGGGCTTAAAAAAGAAAACCCTCCAAACGTCCCTATTTGCAAGAAATCGAAAAGATTTGGGCCTTATGGAATAGAAAGTACTATAACCTTCGCTATAAGGCCAAAAATTTAGAAAAATTCGAACGTTAATGGCGAAAAATCATTAGGACATTTGGAATTTCGAGTGAAAATCGCAAATTTGAGGATCGTTGCGGAAAGTCTGATTGGTGACTAAGAATGAAGAAAGACAAATCCTTCGAAACAAAAACTGACATGTCTGGTTCCCACCAACAATTTACGAAAGCCTTTGCAAATATCTACCAAGCAGGTCGAAATGCACAGGTCATTGAGCGCGGTTCCACTTAATAGAATATGGATCATATTTTAAAAATACTTTTTTCGGGTAAATATTTGTTCGTGTTGACATTAAAAATAGAGTTGAGCAATTTTTCAAAGTATTTAAATAAGCATACATATACATAAATATGCAAATAAGGAAAAATTTTACATTTTAGGAACCTGTGTTTTAGGAACACAATGTTGTGAAGAGAGCGTTCAAGTAGAAAAATTACAAGTAAAAGTTGTAGTATTGGAAGCCAGGTTGACTTTTATCTAATAATATACCCCTCTGATTTCCTTGTGAATAACGCCTCCCGAAAAATGAATGGGTGCACCACTTGCTTCAAAAATGGGTCTAATTCGTCCCACGATTTTTGGTTCCTAAATTATTAGAAATCTGTAAAATATTTGCTGTCCACATTCATACTTGAAAGTTAAATATTTTACTGACCACATGTCCTGCGATTTCTACGCTTTTAAATCCTCTACTGGACAAGATGAGATCTTGAATGTGGGGAGAAAAGCGTTCTTCCTTAACTTTAATGTACGAGAAAAGGACACTTTTAACTCGTGAAATTAATACGAAATTTAGGAATATTGAGATTCATTATTCCTCCGTACATAACCCTGAAATGTTGGCGAATCTGAAATCAACGGGTAAAACTTCGTAACAATCACAATAGGAAGGCAAACCGTGTTCAACCCAGATTAATTTGTGATCACCTTTGTTTGGAAAATCAACTTTTAAAAAAACATTTTTAGTGGCATCTGTGAACATGCGCAAAATTAAGCAACTTAGGGGCGCCTCAAGTCTAAGCTGATGTTTTCAATCGGAACCTGTCCCATGCGGCAGTAACCGAGCTTTTTTGCGAACTTGCGGCCACCCTAACGTGCCACATTTTGCGTATTTGTTCAGATACGACTCAAAATGTAGGTTCTTAAGAGTTGGTCCGAAAAACGAAGTGGGTCAAAATATGTAATCTGCGTATAACCTAGTTTACATCCCCATAGTTACTGTTCGTCCAATATTATTAGTCGCAAAAGTCTGATAATTTTTCTGAGAAGTTATTTGTCCATATACTTATGTATTACTTAAATAATTTCGTCATTGGCAACAATACCGAAACTGTTGTAACATAAAATGGTGAGGATGATGTACAAATATCTGTTCATAAAAATTTATTTTACCTGCCAGGTAACGGTTACCTGGTAACCAGTAAAAATTATTTGGGACTAATAATAATGAAGGAACAGTAGCACTGTGATTTTTTACCTGGCTTTTAAAATCTCGTAACATTCTTAACTCATTTTACGATTCAAGGAGGAATATTGATTATACCCTCATTATTATAATCAGTTAGCTGAAATCGGAATACTCATTTTAATTTGAATCATACCCTTCATAACGGACACGGATTTAAGGACTTCAATCAACACGTAGGATTTTTTCACCCAGTTCACTTCAACGTTGACCCCTTCCAAATCCCACATTTTGAACGATTCCATACTCCTCTTGAGGGGAATGCAATCTATGTTGTGCATCTTCAATTCGAATTGCTTAACGGTTGGAAATATATGGATCATTTGTTTCCAGAATTCTTCCTCCTCCAAACCCCAGTGGTTCATGGTCACCGAGAGAGAGGCAACTCCTCTGTGTCGCCTCCATAGATTTAGATGGGATAGAACAGACGACTTCCAAAATCCGTTGTCGACACGGAAGGTTTTTAATTTTGGGAAGTGGGTTTCATCAAAGAAGTCATGAATTCGGAACACATTTGTTGCATGGATGGAGAGCCTGGTAAGTTTTGACATGACGGGACCGCCGTGGATAGGCTGGACCTATGGTGCATGCAAAGACCTTAGGATTAGTTCAGAGTCACAGATCAACAATAACAAGTGTTTAATTAAATAGATATTCGGCCGAGTCGCGACAAATATTTCGTAAATTGAGTTTAGAAACATATTTAATTTGTGAGATATGGCAAAACTACTCGTATATTTTTCAATTTTTCACAACGAAAAATGTTTAACTTTTTATTAAAAAATTCGTTTTTTCGAAATGTCTTGCCATAGTAAACACTCTAAATAAAAGTAGTGCAAAATTTAGAGGTGATCCATAAATTATGTCACGCAAAAAAGCCCTTTTTTAGGACCCCCCCACCCCTGTTGTCACGCCTTTGTCACGCTCGACGTGACCCCTCCCCCCTCTTGTCACGTCACGCCGGAAAATCTGATTTTTTCCAATTGCAAGAATGATACATACATGTGTTCTATAAACGAGGAGCGAGTAGTAAATATGGCGTAATATCAAAACTCACACAGAAATCTTATGTACTTCGTCTCCAGGATTTTGTACAAATTGACTTTATTTGGCCGATAATTATGAAACCATGCCTTTGTCATAGAAGATGTAGTACAAATTGCGGTTTAAACCTAATATTTCGAGATAACTGAGTGAAACCCGTGTAATTTTACAGATAGGCACAATTGTTAGCTTTATTTATACTCATATTACACCCTTGATGGGTTGAAAAGTCATAGCTTGGTAGATTTGTGAATAACAACCTTTCCCAAAATTACTGTTCATTTTTTAGTATTTTTAGTTTTTAAAAGTTTCAAATAAGTTGAGAAAAATCCGCCAAATTTTTTAGTTTTCTTATTGCGATGCATTTTTTAATTGTTAACATTTTTGAATCATGCAGTTGTCTTCAATTAGTACCCATTTTTGAAACTATCAAAAATACGGTTCTTTCGGAGGACTTTTTTTAATTGTGCAAATTTTTGGAGATTTAGTAATGTTTTTTTAATTGTTGAGTGGATTTTTTACAAAATTATGACGATTTTTTTAAATTGTGCAAACTTTATGGCATCATGAATTTTTTAAATTTTCAAATAATTGTATATTGTGCAAATTATTTTAAGGTTTGAACAAAATCTAAAACTTGGTAGAAATTTTGGATGCTTTGGATCGAAGGTTTGATATTCGGTTGGACTTGGACATATATTTCGAAATAATTGCGAAACTGTAGTTTGGTCATAGTCGGAGAATTAAAATGTGAGTTAAAGTTTGCATTAAGTTAGGCCTGCAAAAAGTGATGTCACGGATCGGCCGAACCCCCCCTCCCCATATGTCACACTTTGTCACGGATTCTTGGGACCCCTCCCCCCCATCTTCAGCGTGACATAATTTATGGACCACCCCTTACGCAAGGTGGAGTAAAAAAGAGGGTGACACAACACTTGGGCAAATTGTACTCAATTCCTCTGTAATCTTTACTCTCAAACCATTTACACAACTTTTATTTAGAGTGCATTGTCCTGGGTTTCCCCATTACAAAATACTTCTATTAAATCCTTACCTTCTCCATGGGCCCATTCCCCATCGGCTGACACAACTCCAGCTCGATCAAGGAATCCTTCACCTGTCCCAGCATCTTCGTCACCTTGGTCACATCGAAGTTCGGAAAATAGTCGTAGCGCGTTACAAACTCAAATTTCAGAACTTTAAGATTTCTACACCCCTCCAAATCTGGATAGAGGGATGCCTCGACGTCCAGCGTGGTCAAGTTGGGGGCAGCATCGAGCCAGATTTGGATCAGGGGTTGAAATTCGTGACATCCAGTTTTTTGATCATGTCTAAACTGGGAAAGAATATTGAACCTGAGCAATTTCAAGTTAGGTTGCGGGGGGAGTTTTTGACACGCCTGGACCGGAAGTGTATACTTAGTATTCGGTTGCCAGTGGCTGGTGAGGTCAATCTTTTGGATTTTTGTGGATCCCAACCCTCTTATTCTGTCGAGGAGAAGAGGGACCAATTCCTTCCGGGAGGCAAAAAATTTGATTTCGCCAGTTAATTGAGTCACTTGAGTGAGAGCTTGTACAATAAAGTCAGGTTTTTCCTTGTAGAATAGGCCGGAGATGAGGAGGCGTCGCATCAGTTGGTCGTTGACAGGGGACATCTCACCTAAGTTGGGGGCATCGTAGGAAAAAAGCTTGTTGACGTGGAGATAAGCCCGTTTTCCTAATAAGGTAGACGCAACGTCGTTCCAGTCGTGGCAGACGAGACGAGACGTTTTCAAATCGGGGAGGTCGAGCTTGGCGAAGATTGCGTCAAGAATCTGATGCAAAATTTAAAATTATTTGATTAAATGGGTGGGCCAATCAGTTACAAATTTTAACAAATCGTTTCAGTTGTGAATTGACATCTTGTATGTACTTTAACTAAATGTGTAATATTTTATTTCCGTCGAGGACGAAATATACAGATATGTCTGCATAAATTAACCACTTATCAAAATCTTATCAAAAAGTAATTAAGAGTATTTCTTTGGTTGATATTTTGTACAAAATTATATATTAAAAGGCGATTTTTTCATACTTTTCTGCTCATATTTTGCAGTTTTCCCAACACATTACATCCTAATGTAAAATTGTGGTGTTTCCATGATGCTGGTCAAACAGTGCTTGACAAACACTGTAAAACTTGGAACTTGTTGAATTAAATATTCCTCTTTTGTGGGAAGATATGTATGAAAATTCAATGTTCAAAATTGTAATTATGTAGTGCTTATTACTATTAGGACGTGTAACTCAGCATCGTATCCATCCGAGAGAAATTTTATGAAAAAATCAATACTACAAAAAAGCGTAACTTACCAACGGATTCATGAAAACTTGGGACATGGTGTTGTCAATGCTTACACGTACATTTTTTGAGTCTATAATTAAACGGAATGAATTCCAAAAATGAGAATCTCTCGAAATAAAGAAAAGCGCAGTTTCCACGACAAAAAATTAGAATGTAGCATTTACCAATATTTAGAGAAATGCTCTCTTCTCGTGAGGATGTTGACTCCAACCTCATATTTTCACAATTTTTGTCACTGTAATCCAGCTCGATAGGCATTTTGTTGGGTTAGTGGGACGTCTTTAGCTATTTAGAATTGACATATTGTACATACAGAAATGAAATTACCGTCATTCTCAACAAAATATGCAAGCATGAAATGATGAAACTGTAAAATACTTGTTACTTAATCAGGTTAATTAAATATTTCTTTACCTGAACTAAAATGTGACAAATATTCAAGATGTCTGCGTGCTTCGAACTTACGTTGATTTTATGCTGTAAGATAAAACATAAAATATGCATGAAATATTGACTTTCTCTTTGCATAAAAATACATGAGTATTTTGTTCGCCTCAAATTTTTATCCTTACAAAATTATACAATTTTATTGCTTAGGGATCGAAACTTAAAATTTCCCATGGTCAACTGAATTTAATTTTTGATTAAGTAACTCAAATATTTTTAATAAAGATGAAACGTATTCTTTAAATTCTTTCTAATTATAATAAATTCTAGATATTCTTTAAATTTTTGATGGTGTCAGACACAACAATTTATGATTTTGTAATATCAGTACAGTAATAAATACTTATCAAGTCTAAAATGTCACATCTTACGTACCCTTAATTATCAGTTGTTGATCTTCTGTTATTGACCGAGTTAATTAAAACTCGAGTAAAATATGAACGACAATATAAAATTCAACAAAACGAATATGCTTAAGATCTTAAAAATGAGTGTCTTTACACGACGAGGGTCAGGCAACGAAAGAAATATTTATGGAAGGAGGACTGGGCAAGTTAGTGTCCCTTTTTATTTAAAGGGGTATCCAGGCATTATGTGGTTCATCCCGCAGTTTTGATAAGTACTTGTCGAGATCTTCTTTTTCTTGAAAACTTAATTATTTAAATATTTGTATTATTTATTGCCCTGGAAAATTCTGATTATCAGGCAAAATTACATATCTTATTGATAAGTTATCATAACGTGTGGTTTGCACGATCTGTCACCTTTTAGATATTTTAAAATCCTGAATTTGAACGCGAGCTTAAAGGGTAAGAATAGATTTCTGAGTATTGAGCAAGAAAAGGCTTGTACATATGTATGGTTGGTACATATTTTGTAATTAGACCATTTTCTGCATAAGAAACGCGTGTCATAAAGTTCAAATTTTAATGCACAAACAATTGTCTGAAAAAGTTTAGCAAAAACGAAGATAAGAAACTTGAGTTGCATTTTATAATTTATTTGAGGAAACAGTCACATTGGGTTCATATTGTAATGAAATTTAAGTAATTTCAGTGAAGGAGTAATTTAATACAAATCGAAAAACTTGTTGTTTCGCATTCTAGCGAGAATTTAAAAATTCGAAAGCATGTTTCTTCACAATAATTGATTTATTAAAAATTCAATTGCATTATTTTTTACAAATATTTGATTTTTACAGGATGTTTTTAGAAACACTCCGTTCATGGGCTTGATCGGGGTTTTGTGTTTCTTCTGCAAGGCTTTGGGGGGCGTTGAAGCAAATGAAATTTTAAAAGTTTAAAATTTAAAATTTTAGTTTTAAGTGATTTATTTGATCCAAGTCAAAAGTTTATTTTGAACATGTACACAGTATGCCCAAGTTAACTGTAAGTAGCTATTTTCTTCGAAACTGCAAGAGATAATAAAAATCTGATAAGTGCATTGGATTCCTCATACGATTTTGCATAAGAACCAGAAATCAGTTTTTTGCTAATGTAACGCACTACTTATTTATGGACTTGTAAAATGTGCACTTTTACTTAAATAAATAGGTCCACTGCAACTTCGTACTTTTTTAGTGTGTGTATTTTTATTCAACTCGTTTACGACAGTATATGTACAGAGAGAGAGGACACAAGGCAAGAACTTATCCCAAGACAGACTAACTAAACCGTGGCATTAGTTGCCTTATATACAACATCCTTAATTACTTAAAATTAATTCCCTTCAACAAGTCATTAAATTAATAACTTAAAGAGTCAAGAGCAAAAGATGTCATTACTTTTAATGACTTCTTTTGCTCGTCCAACTTTAAGTAATAAAGAGCACTGGCTATGGTTAACTTAACTAACTTAAACGAAACCTACACCTACATGTGTATGTACACGCGTGAATGAAGTTCACACGCATTTGTGCATATGTCAAGAAACTTACACATGTATGTACATATGCAAATATTATTATTACAGCAAGTATTATTATTATATTGCTACATTCCTCCACTTTTTTTTCTTTTACTAGAACTTGACCTACGCAAAAAAAAGTAACCTACGACAATATGATTATGAAACTAAACAGTGTTTTTGTTATTTTTGTTTTTGCAATGAAATCAAAGAGTTGAAAAGAGTTGATAAAATGAGTCTTAGCTGTTATGCGAGTACAATCTAGTCCAGAAATTCGACGTCATCATCATCAAAAGTTGCGAAACTCACGTCCTCGTTTGTGGGGGGTGGTGGGGTGTCACGTGGGGTGTACGGAGGTGGTGGTGGGGTGTCCAAGGGGGAATATGGGGCCGAATACCGAATCTGTGCGAAGTCGAAGGAGAGGTCTAACGGGGCTGGATTATCAATGAAGGAGGAGGGTGGGTTCCTCCAGACTAATCCTCCTAATTTGTCTGGGCTATGCCTGGTCACCTCATATGTTTCATCCTCGTACTTGAGCATGGTAAAGGGGTAGGTCCGTAGAAGTTTGAACAGATAAATTGAATAAGTTTTTATGTACTTAACGGTAATGGGGAGAAACATGAGACACCTATTTCACCAATGGCTCGCAATGCTCAGCTTATAGCTCGTATTTGCTTAGGAAATTTGCGATAACTTTCGTAAAACGTGGAAATTTGTCATGTGTGATATTGCACATGAAAGATTATTAGTTGTACTACAATAGCTTGTGTAGCAGTTGTCAATATCTTATTTTTAGCAGAAGATATGAAGCTCAACATTATCCTCTTCAATTGCATGCATTTCGAGCTTCATATCTTCTGCTAAAAATAAGATATTGACAACTGCTACACAAGCTATTGTAGTACAACTAATAATCTTTCATGTGCAATATCACAGATGACAAATTTCCACGTTTTACGAAAGTTATCGCAAATTACAAGAAAAAAAGGTCGGTTTTTCTGTGGCTTTGACAGACCAAAGAGTATAGATCATGCCCATTCGCACCAGTCACGGGAAATTCAAAAACATAAACATCATCCTTTGCCATTTGAATGAGTAAAGTCCTGCTTTATTTTGGAAGAATTGAGCTTATTTAAAAAAACGTAAGTGGTTTAACTATTTCAAGTAATAATTTTATAAATTACAATGGGCGTGCTCACGACAAAGTTTTATTTAGCATCGCAACCCACTCAGTATTATTTATCATTGTATGCATGTTGCGACAAATGAATTGTTTCCAGCACAAACTTTAAATTTTAGCCCGACCCAGGGCTTATGTAATTGTCATGCCCGTCCGTCAGTCAGTTTTTTCTATAACTCTCGAATGAGTAAACCGATGGACTTGAAATGTCTACCAGATTCATACTGGACAAAGCTAGGAAACGAGTTCGATTCGAACATGGGCGAAATCAATCCAGTTGTTCAAGGGGTCATCGGAGTGGCTAGAATAAATTTCGAAATTGTAGTTTGGTCACAAGCCCATTCAGTCGACCGAATCCACTCCAATTTTATTTTACTAAATGTTTCCCATTGTGTGATCATGTAAGCAGTGATCGTCCTGAATACACAAACATTTGTGAAAGTAATTCGAGGAGAGAGAATTTGAGGGTGAAAGCAAACATAAATATGACACTGTTGGTTAAGTATTTATTTAGTTCCACGGGTGGACATAATCTTGGAGGTGACTGAACAATTGCTTTGAATGGAGTTTCAAGTAACAAAATTGGAAATGTCTCCACGATTAAGGTCGAATTTTTATCATCCAGCTAAAGAATCGTGGAAAAATTAAAATAGAAATGGCTAGAAAATAGAAATATGTAAAATTGTATTTTCTGGGTAAATGAAAAATATGTTCCTACGCCAACTTTGCAAGATATGCGAGATATAAGAACGTTGACGTGAGCCCGCTCAGTATTAAACTATAAATATGGAAGGTACTAATTAGTCAAAGGTTTGATATTTTTTATTCACAGAAATGGGGCCTATATCTAAAAGGAGAGCTGCCTGCCGAAGAAATTGGTTAGGTGGTACTAAGAAAACTATCGTTACAAACGTCCCAACATGTGGCGCCGAAGGTCAATGTACATCAAGGGTAGATTGTGTAAGACCTGAAAGGCAGGACTGTGTAACACCTGTGAGGACGAAAACGTACTCTAAAGTTACAAAAACGGTGACACCTAAATCCCTCCACGATATCACAACACCACGAACTAGGAGGTTTATAAATAAAGGTTTGCGTGGCCGCAAGCTGTCTTTCACAGAAGAGGAAGCAACAGAAGTTGCGAGCGAATTAGAACTTCCGAAAATTGAGGGCAGAAGAATCTTTACAACTGAGTCAATCGAATGGCTGATGAGATATAGTTCTAACCATGGGACAAAATGTCCAGGAGAACTATACTTTGAAAAAGAAACACGTACTGGAATGCGTTCCACTTTTGTGGCAAAATGTAAACAATGCAACGAAGTATTTGTCTTAGACAGTGACACAGGTAACAAAACTACACACGTGACTGATGCAGCTATATGGGCAACTAATTCCACAGGAATGGGATACACAGCTTTGGAACATTTTTTGGGTTGCTTGGATGTCCCTTGTATGGCTTCAAAAACGTACTATAAGCACGAAGCACGATTTATGGAGGATCTTGAAATTGCTTGGAAAGACCTCCTCGTTGAAAACGGTAAAAAAGAGCGAGAAATGGCCGTTGCTCTTGGACAAGTTGATAGCGATGGTGTCGCGTGGACCGTAGTATACGCTGATGGGCAGTGGAGTCAACGGTGTTACAACCAAAATGGGAAAGCTAAGACTGGGAGCGCTGTAATTATTGGTGCGCTAACCATGCTACCTTTATTCGTAGGCGTCAGAAACAGTTATTGTTTGATTTGTTCAAGGAACAATGGCCAAAGCCACGAAAAATGCTACAAGAATTGGGAAGGTTCGGCGCAGGCTATGGAAGCAGATCTTATCCGCGAAGGATTTGAACAAAGCATTGAAGTGCATCAGTTGCGTTTCAAAAAACTTATTGGGGACGGAGATTCCAGCGTGTTTAATGAAATACAATACATTTATGCCAAAGGCAGTTCACGCTTCCTTGAGGTGGAAAAAATCAATTGTGTAAATCATGCAATACGACGACTCAACACAAACATACTTAGTCTTGTTGGAGATACAGGTTACGACATCAGTTGTAGATCCATCGTGCAAACCCGATGGTCTTCTATAGGCAAGTATTGTCAATACGTAATAGAACACAATCGAATCAATCGACCTCAAACAAACCAGGACACTTTGCGTTCGGACATAAAAGCGGTAATGCTGCACGTACTAGGCTGTCATAGAAATTGTAACAGTTACTTTTGCAATGGTGGGAAAATCATAGTACCAGAAAAATTTGAATCAAATGCCGGAAATTTACAATCCATCGAAGATGGACAGCGGACGGACACTCAAAAAGAGATTCCAGATACGGATGTGTCGGTTGGTATGAAACTCAAAGACCCTAAATTCTACCATAAACTCGAAGAAATATTTACCAGACTGGCGAATCATTCAAAGTCCTTGCTGCTTGGCCTAACGAACAATATTGCAGAATGCTTTCAAGCACAAATAAACAAATTTGCACAAGGTAGACGAGTCAACTATACTAAAGGTGGTAAATATAACCTGAAGGTTATGGAGGCCACCTTCGGATTTCAGTTCAGTTCAGGTTGGACAAAATCTGCATTCGAAAAAACAAAACAAACTCTGGTTGGAAGTCAATGGACAAAAAAATTAACTCAAGGTATTCAACGCAGAGCAAGAGCTACTGCCAGAAAAACAAAACGCAAGAAGCGGATATTTTCAAAATTTGTCAAGAAAGGTTTGCCTGAATTTTTCAGCAAGAGGAGGAAGCCGTTGGGGAACCCATCATATGGCGGACATGCAGAAGACGTTGGCTTGCCGGAGTCGGAGTTGAGAAAGAGAGTAGACGAATTTGTTGCTCAACACTCAATTAGCTCAAAGGAAGAGCAGTGGAAAATACACGAGGAAACTGTCGGGCAGTTTGCGAATCCGTTATATGTTGAACGCCGGCAGTTCATGATAACAGCTAGCATAGCTGGTAGAATACTCTCTTTAGCGGACAAAACGCCTAACGTTGCTTTGCTTGACGATCTTTTAGAACCTCGAAATTTGAATGCCAATCCAGCAATAATCTGGGGCAAACAAAACGAAACAAAGGCTATTCAGCTTTATGAAAAATTATACAATGTAGTTGTGCAACCATCGGGTATATTTAAATCTTTAGAGTTTGGACTACTAGGAGCTTCACCAGATGGTGTGGTTGGAACCGACGGAATTATAGAAGTAAAATGTCCACACAAGGAAAGGTTTGCAAAACCAACTGATGTAGTTTTACGCAAATCTTACGCATTACGCCTTAGTAAGACCTCTACACCAGAAAATCCTGTGTATGAGTTTGCTAAGACATCTCATTATTATGCACAGGTTGTAACGCAGTTGCACGTAACAGGACGAACGTGGTGCGATTTTATTATATGGACACAAGGTCCATTGGACGAAATTACTGGTAAACCAGTGAATCCTGAAGGTCAACTGCATGTTACCAGAGTTTACAGAAGTAACGAAACTTTACAAAAGTGGAATGCAATACGGGACAAGGCTAAAATATTTTATGTCGAAGACTACGCTCCCGAAATTGTGGATCCCACGTTTCCTAGGAATATGGGATATCGTCAACCGACGTACAGGCTTGAAGCCTACCGATCGGCACAAAATATAAAAGCCAATAAACTAATCAACACAATTACATCACAAGCACCTGAAAAGTCACAAGTCAGTGAAGCAGATCACACGGAGGAACCTCCAATAAAAAGCCTACACGCCGCCGAAAATCGGTTAAAAATATTACTTAATTTATTTAATTTAAAGAACCAAATTTAATACTTGAATAACTTAATAAATTTAAGTTAAAGTCACTTATTCCAGTTAAATTTATGTATTTATTTCTAACTTTCTTATACCAAATCATATCATACTAATACTTCGTATACTGACATCTGATCTAAGCACGATCGCAAAAATTCAAACATAGTTTCCCAAATTTTACGCATTTTAAGTTTGTCGTACACATTACATATTTTCATACAAATTTTGAGGATTTTGGGTACATACATACTTTCCTTTAGGTACATAAATATCCGCCCTCTGATTATAATATAATTTTTATGTACTAATACTTTGTACTCTTGCATGAACTAGCATCAATTCTTTGTATTACTTTTCAAAATTTTGTCGTTATCTTTTGAAACATTCGTCCCCTCTTGAGAGAGTGCATTTTGTTACTAAATGGAATGAAAGCCGATATTTGGGAGACATTTTTGAAGAGATTCAATTATCCGACGCCTCATCGTGTGGGTTTCAATGCTGGAATTTTATACCCGGGAAACGGGTAAACCCCCCTCGTTAGCCAAACCTGTACTTAATCCAAATCGTACTTAGAATTTACGGTCACAAAGAGATGGATGTCACCGGAATCGAGGAGTAGCTCGAGGCCTTCTTTGTGTTGGGCGAGCTGGCCAACACAGAAATTTAGAATAATATTTTGGACACAATTTTCGCGAAACAATTAATTATTTCGCTGCATAGGCACGGTGGAGCAAGACGCGTTGATCAAAGCCCTTAAAACGGGACAAATTTTTGCCGCTGGGTTGGACATAATGACCCCAGAACCGCTCCCAGTCGGTCATGAACTTACAAAATTGAAAAATTGTGGTAAATTGTGGAAATTTTGAAATTAGGGGAAAGATTTATGGAGTGATTTTGACTGCTTTCTTGGAATTTTAGCCGTTTTGCCTCACATTGGGAGCGCCACGATTCAGGGGAGAATGGCCATGGCAATGTTGACCACGAGAAATATTGTTGTAGAGATTTGGAGGAACATAAATATCGACGAATTTCGACTGCTCCTGGTTCCTCGATGCCCGTTCGGGATACTTCCAAATCGAAGAAGGTTGACGCGCAAGTTAGTAATTATGCAAAAACTAAATAAATACAACTTCAAACAAGCACAGTAATTAGTTTTCAACGATTTATTTTCATTTTAAAAAACCATCAGTTGGGAGAATACACTCCGACGACATCCAAAATACCGCCACAGTAAATGCAGAAGTGGCCCTCGATCTGCATATCTAAAAAAAGTAAAATTTATTGAAATAAACCATTGCAAACGAAATGTAGCAAAAGGGTGTAAACACACGGAAATGTCTTAGTATTTCGCCAACGTCGTCTTCCTCCACCTCCCCGTCTTTGTCTCACATTACGCCTCGTTCTTAATTTTACGAAAATTGAGAGAAAATACTCCTCACGCAAGGTCAACATTAAATGAAACATTTGCCAAAATGATTAGCGCTGGGTGACAACTTTGCCCGATTCGAAACTCGACCAGAATTTCGCCTTCATTTCTGACATGACGCCACCCACGTATTTCAAACGTCTAATCTCTCTAACTTGAAAATAATTTGCTGTCTAGCCATTATGGACATATGTGACTAGGTTTTAAATGCATATTTGCAGATTGTACTGCTTCTTGCATTTCAGATCTGCGACAGAAATGTTGTCGTAGGGTTTCGAAGTTCCACCCAATCGGTAGTTTTCGACTCTACAAATTTCCCATTGATTAATAGCTTGGTGGTCGGGAAGGAGGAAGTGGAGGTTGTTGGATGCACGGACGGACAAGACATTTCCGTATGTTTTCACCCCCTTGAATGACAGGATGACGAACCAGCTGCCACAGGGGCGAAGCAAGCTCCGCATCTTCGCCCTTGGAACCGAACACGACATCGCTGGCAAGCAGGAGCCCTGGGGTGGGCCTCAGCTCCACAGGCAAAGCAAAACCGGACAACAAACGAATTCTGTAAAAAAAATAGATAAGGTGAATTAGTGTATAACAGAGTTTATAAAATCACCCAGCATAAAATGCAAAATATCATAAAAAATGTTTGGAGTTGGGGTTTAAAAAGAGAGGTGCGAAAGGTTAGCGAGCGGCAGTTATCGTAAGACAGACAGAGGTAAGGTACAGAAGCCCTGGTTAAAAATAAACACAAATACCCGTCGAATAGGTGGATCGGGTTGTGGGTGGGTCCGTCCTCCCCGTGTGTAGGGATGAGGGCGAGCTCCGCGCCTTCCCCTCGGAGCACCGCCTCGCCGGTCACAACTCGGTGGTGGTGACCCGTGTAGGTTCACCCTTTTCACAGGGGCGCCTTTACCTCTTTCCTCTTGGTCTTCTTGCTTCTCTTGTCGATTTTCCTTCTCCACCTTATCCTTATCTTTGTCCTCCTCTTCATCTTTTTCTACTCTTTCACCTTTTTCTTTGTCGTTAGGTTTCCGTGGTGGGGGAGGTGGGGGTGGAGGTGGAGGAGGCATCATCATTACAGCACTCATCTGACAAAAAAATCAAGGTCTTGATAAATAATTATACCCAATTCTTGCTTCTGCTTCAACAAATACGACATTTTAAATTTTAACAAAATACTCAACAAATAGAGATATATTTATACTTGTGGATAAACAACTAACTCTGCTACCAATTAATTGACCCACCTTGATTCAGACGAACGGACGACCAGGAGGGTGTAATGATTTTACCTTCTGCTAAAATGTCAAAGTTTAAGAGTAACGATATGTAGCCCAATTAACCGTCCAATTAATTCTTCGGAATTAATCTTCACCACCGCGTCGTCACTTTATTAATTGTTCGCCAGGGCTGTTTGGTTTCCTCTCAAAGGCAAACTACCCTCGACCTGGAGACTATATCACCTGTAATAATAAATTAATTTTTAAGCACATTTATAGAATGAATAAATGGATTACCACGACAACCAATTAATTTGGTAATTAATTGGTTGTCATGGCAACCAATTCGCTTACCTAAATAGAGTCGAAGAAAGGAGAAGGTTCTGCTGCAGTTGCACTGAAGAAACTGCCAAAAATGAGTGAGACGAGGAAGCGTGGTAGTTGGTGAAGAAACAGGAGGTAGGCGACCTCTGCCACCTCCTGTTTCAACCCAACAGTTCACTCTTGCTCAACTGCTGGAGTACAAAAGGAGCGTAGTACCTTAAAGGCGTAGGCCCATGCGAATAGTTCAGTCATTAGCCCCCGATGAGCGGCGTGGTAGTAGTACTGGAGTGGTTCGACCCACTCCATTGCCTTGGCTCTTACTTTGTTCGGAATGTACAAAGTGGGAAGCGCCGAGAACTCCGTCGGAAGATCGCTTGGTTTTATGAAGGTGATCACCACCCGATAATCTTGGAGAGAGAAGTGTGATATACGATAATATGGTAAATCGTATGTCACCAAATCTTGCGTGAAGGTGTACGGGTTTCTTCGTGACAGCGTAACGATATGAAAATAATTGGGTTGTACTGACGAAGGCGAGATAAAAAACAGGCCGTCGGTGACGTTCCAGTGGGTGGAAGTTGACGCCAAGAGGATGCTGATGTCGTCGCTGGTAGAGCTGGAAGCCATGGTTGCAGGGTGTGAGTAGTTTTGTTAATTTGAGAAGAATGACTAGAGATGAGGATAACTTCGCATGCGTTTTTTAGCACTATTTATAGTCCAAAAAATGGTGGTGGTCGTGTGAATTTTACATTATCATCAACTTTTGTGTTTACGCAGCATTATTCGGATTTAGTTACGCGTGAGATAGATTTTTAACTTGTTGTTGGGGTCAAGTTGATACTCTTGAATATGTGCGGAAGTCGTGGCCTCGTCACTTTCAGTTTCGTTGATGGTAGGTAATGGTGCCAATATAATTCCACGAGGTTTATGGGGATATAGAGGTTGCTCATCACTCTCATCTTTTTCTTCATCACTCTGCTCACGAGTCCATGTATTTAACCGTATAGAGGAACTGTTTCGTGGGTGCTTAACTTGCTGCCACTTATACCAATGTATGAACAAAAACACCATACAAAGTATCGCGCACACTAAGAAAATGAGAATCAAAATGAGCATGATAAATGCAGCGTGATAGTAAGATACGGCTTCAGGGGGTACACCACTGGTATATTCTGAGGGGGAAGGGAGTTCTTGTGCATCAGCACCACAACGCAAGAGGGCGCTCATGGCCATTCCTTGGGGGTAAAACTAGCGGCTAATCTTGCGGCTTTTTTGATTCGATCCCAAAAAAGATACAAAATTGCCAAAGTTAGAGGCACATTCCAAATATATAGGAGGGCACTTGAGACACTGGGGAGAAGATGTATTATATCTGGGATTTTAACGTGCACTAAATCGGCTATTTCTGAGACGTTGAAGGTGGTGGATTCTAACACCCATGACTCGTTCAGGGCAGCACTTAAGTTTGCAAATGTGTTCGTTATTGGCTTTGCCCCTGCCCTTAACATTGTATCTGTCACTATTACGTCTATTTTAGCCCATGTTGATGGAATTGTTTGCACTACTGATATCTTATCGACGTTTCCTGTAGGGCAAGGATAAGGGGAACTTATCGGTTGGGATCGTCCTTTAATGTTTAGTCGACAAGAACAAGGGATTACAACTTCAAGTGATCCATATTCAATTTCTGGAAGTTGGCGGATGATTTTGGTGGAATTCGCTGAATCGCACACTATAGTAGAACCCTTTGGGACACTGGTTATCATAAACGTGTGGAAGTCGAGCTGAGTTATGTACGGCTGTTGACTGAGGCGCGGGAAACACGTGAAAGGACAAGCCTTTTTGAGTTCGTTAACAGAGGAGCCTCTAATTATGCTCTCAATGCAGAGTTTTCCTATTTGAGGGTCACTTTGGAATTGAGAAACATAGCATATCCCAGAGCTGGGGTCACAAGAATTCAGCTGAGTTCCTTGGATGGTTGTTATATAACTATCGGCATCCACAACGTAGGTTGGACTATGATTAATTGTACACACACTATCCTTGTATAAGTACGGGAGATTGATGACTTCGTACAATGTTAGCTTCGCTCCTTCTCGATGAAGTGGGACTTTCACATGGATTGTAATTTCGTCGCCCGCAATGTAGCACTTTGCCAATGGGTAATTGTACATAGACAAGATGTCCTGGGGACGAATCGCAAGGGTGAAGTCATTTTTCTGCAGGTCGGGTAAGAGTTTCTCCACATCCGATTTCAATTCATCTGGACCAATGGCGGATAATGGGATGAGGTGAGACCGGCAATGGGTGAGGATGTCCTGATATTGTATAATTTCAGCCATTTTGTTCATTGACTGCAGGATCTGATTGGTGATGATCGACATCCGGTTTTGATAGGTGACATGTTCTGCCCATCTCGCTGTCAAGCCTTCATTATTCTTTTCTGCAGTTGCTGCCAGAATCTGTAGAGTGTGCTGATAGTGATCGAGAGCGGCTTGGACGTCAGACGTGAAGTTTTTGAAATTTTCCTTAACAACTAAAATATTACTATGATCCGTAATTATACTAGGTCGTGGCGTAGGTAGCTGGTCATTATCGATGGAATCATGACCAATGAGGTCCAAATAATCATTCTAAACGATAATTTGAAATTATTTGATAAAAATCTGACCTACGAAGGAATTTTATATTCCGAAAATTCAGTGACCCCAAACATGTAGCCAATTTAACGATGCAAGGTTTTGGAGATCGAAAAGGTTAAGCTTCTTTCGTTGATTGCACAGTCTCCCGATGTGATTCTGATTGTCCGGGTTGAAAAAAGAGGGACTGGTGGGAAACCACTCTTCGAAAAACGAGCTTGTCAAAAGTTCGAAGGAAGTGTGGGCAGCCATATAGAAAAGCATTATAAAGAAACTTGTTGAATCAATTCCACGACGTATTTTTGCTCGTATTGCGTCGAGGGGAGGTGCTACGTAATACTAGAAGCATTTTGTCATAATAAAATTGGCGTTTCTTTGATTTATGATTTTTTAAGTTAAGGGTTGCCAATACTTTTTGCGGGTAAATTTTGCAAATTTTCCAACAAATTATTTAAAAACTGTGTTTATCTAATTTTAAGTAATAAATCATGATTATTATCGAAAACTACATTATATTTGCTAAATGGGTACACATTTTCATGCCAATTGTATGATGCATTCCATGGTTATAGCCAATTTTATTTAGCTGGCGTGGGGGTTGCCAATACTTTTTCCATTGACTGTAGATATTTGTTAACTCCCGAAATTTTTATTTGGATCGGATAGAATTTTTTAATTGAAAAAGTAAGATTCGGATCGGATATTTTTCTTCTAGAAAAATATCCAATTTTTTTGGTTAGATATTTTTTATCGGCAAATTCGAGTCAGAAAAAAATGTCAAACCGATTCAACTCGGGTGATCAATAATTTCAGGTATCTGGCGTGACAACCCTCATAAATATTTCCCAAATTTTAAAATGGTTATATCATATTTTTACCTGCCGCGTTGAATCCTGTATATTCAATTCCAACTCAATTAAGGAATCCTTCACACTTTCCAGCATGTTGGCCAGATTGCCCCTATTGAGATTAGGAGGCCACTGCAGAAAGGGCGTTATGCATTCAAATTTCAGCACTTTGAGACTTTTACACCCCTCCAAATTTGGATAGAGGGACGCCGCGACGTCCAGCGTGGTCAAATTGGGGGCAGCATCGAGCCAAATTTGGATCACGGATTGAAACTCGGGCTGCCCGGTGGCAAGGTAAAATCGAAAATCTGAAGCAATCTTGAACCTTAGGGATGTCAAGTTCGGTTGATTGGGGAGTTTTTGACACGTCTGATCTGGAATTGTGTACGAACTACGGCGTTGCCAAGAGCTGAGGATCTCAACGCGTTGAATTTTTGTGGACCCCAAAGACCTCATTCCTTCCAGGAAAGCGGGGACAAATTCATTCCGGGCGGCGATAAATTTAATTTCGCGAGTGAATTTGGACACTTGGGTGAAAGATTTTGTGATAACTTCGATTTTCTTCTTGTTTGAGCGGATGGACCGATCGAACCTGTCGGAGATAACGAGGCGTCGCATCAGTTTGTCGTTGACGGGGGGCACGCCGCGATACTTGGACGCCATGCAGGTCAAAAGTTCGTTGACGTGGAAATGAGCCCGTTTTCCTAGTAAAGTAGAGGCCACGTCATTCCAGTCGTGGCAGACGAGACGAGACGTCTTCAGATCGGGGAGGGTGAGGTTGGCGAAGATGGCGTCGAGAATCTGTCGCAAAATTCAGAATTATTCAATTAAACGGGTCGCCTAATCAGGTAGAGATTGGGACAAGATCATTTCAATTGTAAATTGACCTCTTATACGTGCATAGACTAAGTAGGCAAATTTGTGTAATATTTTACTTCCGTCAAGGACGAAATATGTAGATATGTGTACTACGTCTGCTTAAATTACCCTGGTATCAGCATCTCTTTAAAGTAATTACTTGAGAGTATTTCCTTGGTATTTTGTGAAAAATTTAATGGTACAAAGTTCATTTTTTCATTCTTTTCGCCTCGAAGTTTGCAGTTTTCCCTAAACACTAAATACATAGATACATCCATCAATTTAAAAACGTTGCATTTAGGTGATTCTGGTCAAAAACTGTAAAACTCGGAAACTTGTTGGAAAAGTAAATATTCCTCGTTTGTAAGGAAATATGAAAATTGTAACTGAAAACTGAGGTGAAATTATAAAATCAGCATCGTGTCCATCCGAGAGAAATGTTATCAAAAATCAGTACCACAAAAAAAGCTAACTTACCAACGGATTCCTGAAAACTTGGGACATGATGTTGTTAGTGCGGACACGTACATTTTGCGAGTCTAGAATTAAACGGAGTAAATATGAAAAATGAGAGTCTCTCGAAATAAAGAAAAGTGAACTTTTTACAACCAAAAAAATATGGAATGCTGCACTTACCCAAATTTGGAGAAATCATATCTTCTTGTAAAAAAGTTGACATTAACTTCATATTGTGTTGATTTTTATCATTAAAATCCGGCTCAATAGGCATTTTGTTGAGTTAGTGGGACGTCTGTACCTAGAATGGAGAGTAGTGCACATAAAATATGAAATTAACACGCCATTCGCAACAAAAAATGCATGCCTGAAATCTTACATGAAACTGTAAAATATGTATTTGTTAATTAATTAGGTTAATTAAATATTTATTTACTTCAATTAAAACTATTAAAGTGTGTTTTGAACTTTCGTCGATTTTAACATAAAATAAGCATGAAATATCAATTTTTTGGTTTGCATTGAAATACGTGAGTTTTTTGCTCGTCTCAAATTCTTATTCTTAAAAAATTATACAATTTTATTGCTTAGGAATTGAAATTTAAAATTTTCCAGGCTCACCTGAATTTAATTTTTAATTAAGTAACCCAACTAGTTTTTAATATAGATCAAACGTTTAATCTTGAAATTTCTGATAGATTAAGACACGAAAATGTATCAATTCGTATTAAGTAATAAATACTAAATACTTATGAATAAAGCTTAAAATGTCACATTTTATGTATACTCTGTCTCAAATGTAAGAGATAGAAATTGGAAATGCTCTTATTCTGTGATATGTTACTCGTAGGTCGTGATATTTTGTTATATTATATTTAATTTAGGGCTACTTGTCTCCACAAAGTTTCATTCAAATTAGGCTACAACTACCTGAGATTTTAACATTTTCCCAAAATTAGTCAAATTGGACTGTCTCAAAAGTAAGAGAGCTGAGGACACACACGTCACAAAATAAGAGCATTTTCAATTTTCATCTCTTACATTTGAGACAAAGCGTACGTACCTTTAATTATCAACGATTGATCTTCTCTTGTTGACCGAGCTAATTAAAACTCGAGTAAAGTATGAACATCAATATAGGCAATTTTTTAAATTTTTAAGATCTTTTTTTTAAAACCAGTGTCTTCACACGATGAGGGTTAGGCAACGACTGAAATATTTATGGAGGACTGGACAAGTTAGCGTACGTCCCTTTTTAATGGGACGCCCAAGCATTCTGCAGTTTATGACAAAATATTGCCCTTTTGAATTTTCTAGAATAATTCATCATAATCGTATTATTTATTATCATGAAAAATTCCGCTTCTTAGATAAGATTATCTTTCTCGTTGTTAAAAAATGGTCACGTGTCTTTTGCACGGGCCATCACATTTTATTTATTGTCCAGCAGGAATTCGTACTCGAGTGTATTTACATTAAGCTGAAAATAGATTTATTTCTGAGTATCAATCCAGAAAAGGTTCATATTTATATACGGTTGAAAATGGTCACCTTAAGTGACCAGAAGTTATCATGGGGTGAAACACCTGTCTGGTTTTGATATGACTTTCCGTCTGCAACACCGAATTCTAAATATATTTTAGCCGATCATAAATATGTTTCTCGATATTAATATGTAGTATCTCGTACATACCTATGTATATTGTATACATGATGTACATAAGTACTCAAAATTATGTTGCCATGGTTGCATGGAACCACGCAAGAGAGAAATCAAAATTCTAACCTCCTAATTTTAGAAGCCTAAAATTATCGGTTTTTAGATGAAGTAAAACCTGTATTTTCTAAAAAAACGCATGGAGTTGAACGTTTGCCATGGGACCTTTCATA